ACGAGGTGGGACGTGAGTTGCACTCTGTCGTTTGCAGCCTGGGTCCCTCCAGTTTAGGGCTGCTACGTGCCGGTCGTGGTTATGAAGTTCGCCTTTTGGGTGTCGTCTCTGCGAGGCCGTCACAGCTGTGGCCAAGGCTGTCCGGCGCGCAAGGGCAGGGCTGAAGACACTCGGCGAGGCTAACGGATCTAGCGGCTAGCGCACGCCGTCAGCCCCGTCACTTCTCGCGTCATGTGGTGATGTATGGGGCAGCGGGAGTGAGCTGCATCTGAGGAATCCCAACCGACCGATCGCATCTTTCATCTTCTGTGGCCCGACAGGCCGTGCTCGAGCTGCTTGCACAGCGCTATCTGCTATGACCGGACACAATGCAGCACCCTTTGCTGCTCGTGCCGTGGCCAGGAGTTGGGAAGACGGAGTTGTGCAAGGCCTTGGCAGCTGCGTACTTTGGTAAGGAGGACGAGATTGCTGCACAAACGGGCGGATCGTGAAGCTGCTGCAGATAGCACAGAACTACAGTAGGGATGCGGACAGGATGCCATGATTCGACTGGACATGTCCGAGTTCATGGAGCGCCACACCGTGTCCAAGCTCATCGGCAGTCCGCCAGGCTATGTCGGCTACGACGAAGAGAGCCAACTGACTGACGGAATCCGTCGCAAGCCATACAGCCCTTTGTCTGAGACGGGGGCTTCACTTGCATGTTGGAAGCATGTGCGCCCTCAGCACGAGAGAAAGAATCGTGGCTCTAGACTCTAGCTGCTCTAGCTTCGAAATAAAGGAATCCAGACCTTGCAGGTTCTTGCTCAATAATCCGAGGCCTCGTCCTTTTCGACGAGGTCGAGAAGGCGCACCCAGATGTGTTCAATCTCATGCTTCAGATTCTGGAGGACGGCCTCGCTTGCTTTGCAGGGAGTAGAGGCCGGGAGGCCGGGTCACAGCGGGTCACAGTTCTGCATGGCTGGAGGACGGCCGCTTGACCGACTCCAAGGGCCGCGTGGTTTCCTTCAAGAATGCGCTGATCATCATGACTCGCTCGCTCGCTCTCTCTCTCTCGCGTCAAACTCACTCTTCTCACCCATAAAGTTCCTGATGCTTCAATACTTGCAGCCACCGCGAGCTTCCAGGACCTCCAACGTCGGGGCCAAGGCCATCGAGAAGGGTATCCAGGGCGGCGGCGGCATCGGCTTCAGCGGCCTGGAGGAAGGGAGCAACGCTGGGTCACGAACGGACATTTGGGCATACCCGGTACTTTCCCTGTTGTTTCTGTTGTGTTTAGTCAGGGCTCATGCAGGACGCAGAGGATGCGGAGACGTCGAGCTACAATCGCCTGAAGACATTGGTCTTCGACGAGCTCCTTGCCCTTCGAGCAGCTGCGCACAAGCGATCTTGATTTTGGTGAATGTGAGGCTCAAGAACTTCTTCAAGCCAGAGTTCCTCAACCGTTTGGACGAGGACAGCATCAAAGAGCATATGATGATACATCCCAGAACAAGTCCACTCCTCACTTGAACCAACCTGTGCCACAGCACAGGTCATTGTCTTCAGATCACTGACGAAGCCAGAGGTTGCACAAATTGCGGAGCTGGAGTTGCTCAGCATGGTTACTGAACACTCGTGCAGATTTAACTACGCTTTGGCCAATAACTCGCTTATGCGAGACATCTTTTCCCAGGTTCAAGAAGACATTCAGCCGAACGAAGGAACGAGGTCGCACGGCTGTCTGCTGCATCAATCATCAGGTGAAGTTGCAGAAGCGTGAATCTTCATGTGCGTTCCCACGGGTTCCGGCAATGTTCTTCAGTCGTTGGAGTTGCTGCTCAGTTCGGTATGTATGACAATCTTGCAAAACGTTTCAAGGGTTGGAACTTAGGGACTTGGTGTTGGCGCTGCTGCAAGAGCTTGAAAACTGCGTTGTCCCAGCTGGCAGGTATCCAGCTCAGCATGACGGAAAAGTTCAAGCAGAAGGCCAGGAGTATTGTATACCCGGACCCATGTTATTGAAGAGTCCAGGCTGTGCGGATGCAGCAGACGCACAACAGTGATGCAAGTAGATTAGACAGCATGGGGTGTGTGTGTGTGTGTTGGGCATTGCAGATCATTGCAGGTTGTGGATGAGGGCTTCAATCCCACTTATGGTGCCAGACCACTCCGGCGGGCAATCATGCGCTTGGTGGAGGAGCGGGGCGGAGTCTCTTCTCAGTTTCCAAAAGCGCGAGAACCTGGCGAGGATGAATTGGCGGAGTCCTTCCTTAAGGAGCCGACACGAGAAGGTGAGCACATCCTCATGGATGTCAATGCAGACGGAAATGTTCCTTGACTCCGCACCAAGAGCGAAAGATGAAGGGGCAACAGCTGACTCCGAGAGTTTTACAAATCTTGCTGCTCAAGTAAAGCCTCACTCAGTTTGTCCTGCAGCTGCTTGATTGATTCAAAAGCAAGAAGCTCTGAACCTCGCGTTTCACATGCCCCATGCCTGTCATCCAGGTCATGATTCTCCGGGACCAGCCGGCCCCGGAGGGTACAGAGGAAGACAAGGAGATGAAGGCCAGTCCTTTCACGCGCACTCACTTGTCCTGGATGCAGTATGTCGGAGCTTCGGCCTTGCAATTGTCTTTTCGACTGCTTGGACCCAGGTCGTGGAGACGACAGCAGCGTGAAACCTTGAGCAGTTTTGAACTGGACTGTTAACGTGGCCTGCTGCAAAGCAACAAAAAAAGATTCGCGAGCGCCGCAGATGCGAGATAGCTGGCCCAATGTATGACCATGGACCATGGCAGGCAGACAAAGCATGGGTTTCGTAGATCCTCGGAAGCTGACGGTGCTGACGTGACAAGTGCGCCAGGCCAGGCATGGCAGAGGTGCGATTCTCGACACGCTCTTGCCTTTCTCCTGAAATTGCTGCGGCGATGGCCGCTTTGTCGGCACTGAGATTCAATTACATGACCGATTGACAGCTTGGCTTTACTGGCGGCTAGAATGAACCAGACGGTCGGCGCATTGAAACTCGTGTGTTGCACGAGCCTGGACCAAAGCACAAAGCGTTCGGAGCACGACCGGCCCCTGGCCCAGCTCATCCCAGTTCCCGAGTGTAGCCTGCCAGGTTTGCTGAAGCTGACTGCGGATACGGGAATTGAGAGCCGGTCCTGAGACCAGTGCATTTGCAGTCGTCCGAGGAGTGAAGTGGCACAAAGACATTCCGCGATTTACAGTGTTAAAATGAGCCGGAGCCAACTGCAAAGACGCCGCCCGGCTTCTTCCACAGCTGTTGGATCAGCAGATGGTTCCAAATAGATCCATGATGGGTCCGTTCATGTCCGTTCGAGCGCCAAGCCTCCATCATAAAGAGCACTGCAGCTCTTTGGATCATGCAACACACCTCGAGCTAGACCAACCCTCCTAACCAACCCAGTCGGGGACACTGTAGACAGCTTCAGACACAGGATCTAGATCTCTAATTGGGGGCCAGCTCCGGCAGCAATCATGTCGCGCAGCTCGCGCAGCCGTTCCTTGAAGCAAAAACGCGTGTGTGCACCGCATGCCGCGGTAGGCCAGAGCACGCGCAAGCCTCACGAAGCCACAAAGCAGCGTAACTTCGTGCTGATGGCAGAGAGTCACCCCGCCACTCTGAGATAGAATGTTGATGCTGTGTCACGTGTCCTGGCTGTTGAACGGCTGTTTTTTAAAGCTTTGCCCCTGAACGATGAAAGTTTGGTAATTGTCAGGTTGCTTCATGCTCGTTAGAGAAGCGGAGGATGCATTTCTTTATAAAGACACCGATGCCCGCGATGTTACCTCCACTTCCCGCCGACACCATTTAAAAAAAGGATCTCAAGGCACTCAAGGCTGGCATTAAAATTGCCGCTAACGCTGCCGAGGCTCCCGGAGTCCACATGCCGAGGCGTTCTCCGTGCAGGTGAAGTTGCTGTCCGGGCAGACGATGCATGGCTGCCTTGGGTGTGGTATAAAAGCGAAAGCACAAGGGAGAGAGAGAGGTCAACAAAGAAGAGAGCACAGCAGGCGTGCATTTGTGCGAGTTGAGTGAGTTCTTTGCTTGCCCTCGACCCCGGCACAAGTACCATTGGCTTTGCTCCACAAAGGCTGACAACGATGCAAGTGCATGCAGCAGACGCTTGGCTTTTGTCCGTTTGGCTTCTGGCCCGGTGAGTGTTTTCATCCAAGCCGCTGCGTAGCGACAGGACACCGTGGCTGAAATTCGACGTCGCATCGAGGACTTTCTGCGACTGTCCGGGGGCTGGGTAACAGCCTTTACCGTGTGGATTCTCGTGCTTTGTCATGCTTCAATCCAAAGATTCAATCGCCAGGAACACGTTCTGCAGTGATTTATTTAATTGCTTCAAGCCTCGATCAGGATATTTAGATAGATCCGGGAGTGCGCAGCATATGAGTCCGTGATTTTTCTCACTCGCCACGAAATTGGAACTCTGAATTCCGCGTTCAAAACCTCGAGCTCTCTGTGCAAATCCATGGGTCAGTCCGGAGACCCCCGGCAGGAGCCGATTTTTTACGGACCCTTGGGCGGGTCGGGAGGGGAGAGCTGCTGAGAATTGGCATCGTCTCACTCTGCGCGCTGATGCTGCGGCCGAGAGAAGCAGACAGGCCCTGTTGGACCGCTCCAGAAACAAATGTGCTGGCACCTGCGACAACCCGTCCGTTCGTCGGGGTCGAACCGCTGCAGCTGGCCACCTGCGTACCTTTCTCCGCGCCAAGCGGCAATTCAGCAGGCCGCCGTAGTACTTCATCTTTCGTCAGTGTCACCCTCGCTCAGTTGGCCGAACCGTGCTTTGCTCTTGTGGCCAATGTTCTACTTTCGCGCGGGGGTCGTTCATATTTTGCAACGCCCCTTTCGGCATCACAAGTTTGCTTTGTCAGGCGCTAGCGCCGGTTCATCACTGGCTTGTCAATAGATAGTTAACGAAGCAGATCGTGCAGAGGAGGTGGATTCCGAGCTGCGGGGCTCCTTCCCACGGTCCGCCCTCATGTTCGGCAACCGGGAGCTGCTACCATCTGATGTATCAGGAGAAACCCTTACTAGCCCAGTTTCGCTACATCTGGCCCAAATTCCAAAAAAGCGAGGAGAAGTCGGCCTCCACGAGGGCGCTCTGCTGACACTGATCCGACTTCCTCCGCAGAAGTTGTGTACAGCCTCGGAGGTGCAAGATGACGTTTCCGGAATTGCCGGGATTGCCGGGTCGGGAGGCTTGTGTTCATGTCCAGATCGCACCGATGAGGATGGAACCGCTCGAATCTTCGAGCTGCAGACAGGGAAGACCCTTTGTGTCCTCGGAGGGTGGCGAAAACTGCAATCAGTCGGTGGTCATAACTTCATGAAGTCAAGGCTGTCTTTGCAGAGTATCGAGCCGGAAATGTATTCACTGGCCAGCATCGGCATCCTGCTAATTCCTGCTACTTGTACTGTGCATGTTGTTTGTGTCGTACACTCTTGTAAGGCACTGCGGGGCTGTCATCTCTGTGACCTTCTCAGAAGATGGGGTGCGGGCGCTCACAATGACTGCAACCCGCTCGATCGCTCTTTATGACACGGCCATAGGGGTGTCCCGGCTGCTGTTTCTTGCTTGATGGGGCTGGGCAGATTTGTTTGCAAAGCCTGCTTGCCCGAGCATTCACTGCTGACAACAGCCAGACAGCCTTTTGGTGAGGTGCAGCTGTGGCGCTTGCAAGGTCCGGTGCAGGATCCTTTGCGAATGTGTCATACTTGCACTCCGTCCCTCCGTAATCCTTGGCTCCACAAGCTCGCCCTCGCTCTCCCTCCCTCTCCTCCCTCTCCCTCTCATTCTCCTTCGCTTCCTGCCGCTCCTCTCTCTCTCGCTCTCGCTCGCTCGCTCTCTCTCTCTCTCTCTCTCTCTCTCTCTCACCCTCCCTTTCACATGGCCCCTCCTGAATCGTTTCGGCAACTCCATGTCGAGGACGCTTGCCTTGCAGCCGATGGGCGACGGGTCCTGGCAACTGGACTTCGAGAGTGCATGCAATATTGGCATACAAGTGGAAGCGACATGAAATGATGTGGGAAGCAGGATTTGGATCGTTGAGTAACTCTTCGAAGATGTTCGATTTAAAAAAGTAGAGTCCGTAGAGAGCTCGCAAGACCGGCAATCTAAGCGCGGTAGTAAACCTTCTTTGAGACGGTCAAAAGCCGCCAGGTCATGGACTCCCATTCGGTTGTCGGGCTTCTGGATGCCAGCACTGGCCAGGTGATGACGAATCTTACACACCACGCGCAGCTTGCACAAGTTTCAGGGCTTCGAGCTTCTACGACCCTGCCCTGGGACCAAGACTGCAGGACAAGCCGGAAGTGCAGTGCCAAAAGGCTGTGCTACAATGATGTCTAGCAGGCCAAAAAGCACCAACCCTGTGCTCTACAGGTACTACGTGTGCACAGCGGTGGCCCAGCCGCATTTCCTTTTAGGTTTCCTGCAGGTTCTTTTTGCAGGTACAGGGAGGGCGCGGCAGTGGTTTCCGTAATCTTCAAAGCCTTGGCCCTATTGACCTATTGCAAGCGCTTTTTGAAGTGACTTGGCCGGCTCAAGGTGTTCTCACCAGGAGGCAAAGCACTGCTGACAGCTTCGGTGGAAGGCTCCGCCCGGCTTTTCGACGTGGCTTGGTCTTCGGTTTGAAGGCAATGAAAGCTCGGGCCCATCAACTAGTAAAATCTTACCGAGATTATTGGAAAGACCGGTGCCATGGAGGCAACTCCAGCATCTCAAACATTTTGTGGCGCCCAGAGAAAACTGGAGCAGGTGAGTTGACAAGCCATGTACATGTAAGCCAAAGCAAGGGTGCCCCAGCTTCAAATCGCTCATCAGGTGGAGTCTGGCCGTTGTCTCATCACCTTCGAAAGCAAGTCACGCTCACCAAGCGGAGCTTGGACAGCAGAGATGCTGGCTACATCGAGAACGCAGCATTCGGGTGGCCGGCAATAGGCAGACGCAGCAAGCAGATGCCATGAGCTCATGACGAGCCGATGCAGTGACCAAAGGCCTCTGAAATCAACCAAGAGGGCGCGCAGACACAAACTTTGGGTAGGATATCCCAACCTTCTGACTTTGGGTGCTTTCGGGGTCCCTTACGGAAGTCGGCACTGCATTGCTTGTTGCGCGGTTGCATCGGTTTTCGAGGTGCCTTGCGCATAGCCCAGGACGGAGTCGGGGCATGACAGCCGCGGCATTCTCTCCTGATGCCAGCAAGGTCCTGGTAAGCATCTTCGAAGCTTGGCCAAAGCACCAGCAGAACTACTGTAGGGGTTCCAATGGCCGTGCGCCAATATTAAGATACTTAAGAACAATTAACGAATATGAAAATATTGGGCTGCCCGGATCCAAGATGGATCCAAGCAACTTTGTTCTGCAATGTTGGACCCAGGGTGGCCCAATATTTATAGAAAATATATATGAGGCCCTCCCTGGAACACAACCCGTAAAGATCAAACAAAGTATAAACGGCGTCCCTTCCTGCAGAGCCCTCAGAGACCCCAGATTGCACGCCTTCACGGCTCGAACGAGGATGGCTCGGCCGACCTTTACGATCGCAGCACGGGAGAGAGAATTTGCTCCTGCGTAACCCGGCCATGCATTTTGTATCGTTTTGTATCGCAACCTTGTTGTTGCACAGTTAAAGGTTGAGAGAGCGAGGATGCTTTTTTGCTTTGGCCTTGGGTCGAACATGTCGTCTGCCCCACGTGTAGAACGAGCTGTCTATCCACCACAAGGTCTTTCAGCGCAGTGTGCGCAAAAGATAAGGCAGATAGTTTCCGTTTCTTCCCCAAGTGTCTTGCAAAGTACTCAGCGGGACTGCCGGACATGTTCCCGAATCGTCCGACTGGAAGCCCTGCTTAGTGCACCCATCTTTCACGATGAGACGCTAGCCAAAAGCAACGCTTCTTCGGCTTTTGCAGGTGGGGCATTCCGATGTGCTCCGCTGCGCATCCATGTCGCAAGACGGTGCGCAGATCCTCACTGCCTCGAAGGATGGCACTGCGAAGTTGCCGCTTCGCTGAACTGTGGCTGCAAGGCTGCGCAAGGTCAGGTCCCTACGTACAGGTTACGGGAGCTGTCTTAAAAGCACCGACAACTCCAGAGTCTAAGCCTGCACGCAAGTAGAAAACCATGTCGCATTCTGATTTGTGTTAGAGGAACTTCCGGTCAGTATTACCCCGGTTGAGCAGTCCAGCAGTTTGCAAGAGCTTCGCAGACTGAGGTTCTGTGCAGAAACCGGCACGTGCATAAGCACTTTCAAAGGCCATGCGAAAGCCTTGTGTGCTGCCAACTTCTCACCAGATCTCACCAAGGCACGCTGAGTGCGCGTTCTTCCGCTCAGGACTGCTCTGAAAACTTGCCAGGTCCTCACTGCTTCGCAGGACTATTCTGCCAAACTTTTCGATGCCAAGAGTGGAACATGCCGCCATCTTAGTTAAATCTTGGTTGCTTGTCTCAGGCAGAGCGAAGGTCGATCATGTCACGATTGCTGGGACGCAAGAAGCATGCTCAGGCTTGCAAGACTTTCCAGGACATTCGGCACCAGTCCTTGGCGCCAGCATGTCTGCTGACGGACGTCTTGTGCTCACTTGCCAGGCCCGCAAAAGGTGATAGCGGAGGAACTCGAGTGCATCAGGGCTCAAACTCGCCTCATCAGGTTCTAGCGACCTGGATGCCAAGCTCTTCGACAGCCAAACCGGGGAGTGCTTGCGAAGCATCTTGGCTCATGAGGGGATGGGGTTCGGCAGCCCCTCGCCTTGCACTTCGTTTCCCCAGCTGCTTGAATAGAGGCGTGCTTGTCAGAGGAGAGGCCTGATGACATGCTTGAGCTGTCTGAACTGGAAGGACTTCCAATGAAACTTCCTTCCGCCCCGAGCAACCCAGGCCCACATCTTCACACGGCATTGGCTTAGTCGGTCTGCGGAAGCGTGCGGAAGTGTGCGGCGGGCGGCTTGTGCGGCCACTCCTGCGTGCGCAAGTCTGCAGAACTGTGCGGCGGGCGGTCTGTGCGGCCATTCCTGTGTGCGCTGGCACCCGTGCTGGACCCTGATTCTACCTTGGCACTGCTGCATGGATTTCTAGGTGTCGGCCGTCTCCGAATCTTTGTTGTTGTTGCTTTGTTTTTCTGGTTGTTTCCCAACCTTCTGAAATTCTGACCCCAGTCAGTTACTTTTCTGTTTCCTTTGCCCCGTTTCCGTGGCCGCTTCGCCACCTAAGGTTTGCCGCCCAAAGCCACCCTCGAGCCCTTCCCCCCAACCAGCCAGCCGCCTGTGTGGACAGGAGCCGCATGACAGGAGAATGCAAGGACAAGTCAAGCACGTTGGCACCGTGCCCTATCCTCTTGTGCCTGAAGAGACCTTTGGTGTAGGTCATATCTGGACATCTGATATTCGTGACGTCTCGTGACTCAACACTGCTTGAGCTTTCACCAGGTTTCTTCGAGGACCGGGCTTCCGAAAGCTGGTGCCTATTAGACAGATGGAAAGGGAAAGAAAGATTTGAAGTTGCCCGGATGAGTGATGCCAAGTTTAATATGCAGCAATTGCACAGCTCATTGGCTGTGAGGAGCACGGCTACGTGACGTCGGCTCAGTGGGCTCCTGGAGGGCAGCAGATCTTGTTGGCAGCATGGCTAAGCCCGACAGTTACAAGCAGACCATGTTGCTGCCCACCCACCCACCCCCCAAAAGCATGCATACGCTGGGACGTGCTGGGACCCGTTGACTGGGATCAGCTGAGGCCTTCTTCAGCGGCAGGGTGGCGCTCTTTGATCCAAAGCAGGACCATTTTGTCCAGGATTTCACTGGGCATGTGGACTGCGTCCATTCCATGAAACTCGTGTGACCACCAGCGCGAAAAAGCTGCGGCTCTTGGCGCGTTGCAGTAAAAGCGCAGAACGTCACGTCATTGTCTTAATACAAAATACGTGCAATCCGTGCAGGGTAGAGCATGAGTGGGCACTTGCTCGAATAGTTGCTGAAAGAGATGTCATGTGGGAAGTTGTGAGGCCGGTGCCTAAGTCCTAGGTCCTAAGTTTGATGCACAGAACATGCACAGAACGTTTGACGTTGGAGGACAGGTTAGCTTGCAGGCCAGCCGGCGCAGTTGAGACACCATAGACGAAGCCAAGGTGCAGGCACACTTTTGATGCTCCTTGGTACGCACCCACCTTTGCGTAAGTGACCGGCCCCTAGCACGGCACTTTCTTCCAAGCATCTCACGCTACGTGATGTTTTGGAAGTTGAAGCTTCGCTTTGCAGGCTTAACTCGGCATCTCCAGCTTTCTGAACCGGACAACTCCATGAGAAGTGCAAAAACAATAGAGAGTCGGGTTTTGGTTGTTCTTGGCCAATCCCTACCCGGCTCCAGGTCCGAAGTGTGTCCGCACTTATGCACTTACAAACAGTTGTTGGTTAGTTTCGACATCTAGGATCCTTGGAATAATCAGCATTCCGCCATGATGCATGCATGGTAAGAGACACGGTTGGGGATCGGCCTGCACGTTTGAGTGATTCAGTGATTCCACCACATTGCTGCTCTCTTCCCTTCGTGAGCCACAGCCCGCGCTGCTGCACTGCAGCATCCGAAACTATGGCTTCGTTCGGCCAGGCCACGACCATGGTGAAAATGTGCATGCTGCTCTCACTCTGCAGGCTTTGAATTGAAGGATCAGCATGTGAAAGTAGCCAGCGTCCAGCACCGAATACAGAAGGCCCTGCTTGGAGAGGCCAGAAAGTCGTGCACCCAAATGTAACACAGCTTGACCAAGCAGCAACATGTGCTTCATCTGCATCACAGACCAGCATAAGCCGCAGCTGATTTCAATCAACACTTGCATGACCAATTGGAGGTACTTGGCACAGAGCTTTTTCGGCCGAGGGATTGCCAGCGGAGAGCACCAAACCAGCATGCCCAACATGCTTATCTCATGTCCGGAGGTGCCCGACTTCATGGTGCGAGACCATTTCGTAGACAATCAGCTGAAGGCACCGAGAATTTGCCAGTTGTTGTTGCTCTTAATTATGACCTGCTCAACTCCCACCAGACTACTCAGTCTGCTCTGCTGCCGAATACACAAGGTGTTGACAACATAGACACCTTTGCCGAGCCTGCCAGGCGGATCTGCTCGCGGAGTTGGGCCAAGAGAGGCTCGCAGCATTTCAGGATGGCGCACTCCGAGGCACCGTAAACTCTGGAACCGGCTTCGCCACCTGGGTAAATTTGCCAAGGCGGCTTGCTGAAGAGATTCGTGCATTGACAACCGGGAATACCTGTCCAGTGGGTCCCGGCGACGGCCATGTGTCTGTCCCAGCTATGATGAGCATAGGCGATGTTGAGAACCATCGCGACTCCTGGGGTGGCCGTTGCAACTCCGAAGTTCACAGCCATACTGTTATGGTGTGGCTGCAAGGTGCAGGCTCCCAGCTCATCCTTCGAAGCGACAGTCAGTGCCACATCGTGGAAGCCTTGCCCGGAAGACTGGTGGCCTTCTCCAATCGCGTGTACTCACATTCAGTGAGACAGGGAATCCCCGGGACAGCCCGGGTAATGATCGGACCCATGGCCTGGCACAGCTCCGGCAACTCAGAGTCATGGTCATCCTTGGTCTAGCCTTGCCGAGTTTTGGGGTTCTTCGATGTGCTTCATTGTGTCTTGCAGCAAGCCACGACCCTAGAGGCAGTTTTCAGCCCGTGATGGCGATGGAGTTCGAGCAGCCACAGTGCCTCGGCAGGTGTTTGGCCACGGCTTGCTGCCCTGCACAGACATTCTTGGAACCGAACGGAGGATGCTAGACTTTTCGGTATTGTGGCACTTTAGCTACTCTACTGTAACGCGGTTTCCCATGTCAAAGTCTCTCAGCTGCACCACCAGCGATGCGAAGTCGCGTGTCTCAGGAACTGTCAAGAGTGGACGCTTTGCAGCTTGGCAGCGAGCCATGGAGCGGTGAAACAGCAGTGAAAGTCGCAATTCTTTGAGGCTGCTGCGTGATGTGCGGCTTTTTCTGCATTGCATCTGTGGGCCAGTGCTGCTTGCTTCCTGTACTTCTTCGGGCAGCGACCCGGCATTCAAGTATTCCCGGTGTCACAGTTTTGTTGCAGGGATTTTCGATCAGAGGCTCGCGGGGAAGAGCAGGGTAAGGAAGAAAAGCATAAGAAAGCAGAGAGGACATAGCATCGGTTGCGAAGAAAGACGAAACGGACGGACGACCTTCGCAGCTCTGATTCATTGGGGAAGAGTTTACAATCCGATAGCATGAGTGAAGACTGCTGCCAGCAACAGGTATGCCTTTCAAAGGGCGCAATATTAAAACTTTTGCACCATGTCAAGTTGACAGTATGCAGCTGTAGCAGGAGCCAATGGACTTTAGTTTCAGTTGATAATGAAACTCGAAGGATGCCCTCTTAGCACACTTTCGCCAGCCTTGTGACTTACTTGCCGTTGACCTGATCTGATGCGAAGGCTCTTGGAGCTGTTCGTGGCGCACTTGCAGGAGCTGTCTTGGCGCCTGCCTACTCTTTGGCCTTTGCTGTGACCGCGCTAGTGTGGACGCCACGGGTCTTGTGCCGGAGTTGCAAGGCGCTTCGCACTGAATCCTGTTGTGCCCCTTGGGCTGAAGGGCAGTGAAGGCGTAGGGAAGTGAAGGGCACATGGTGTCGATTCATGTTCCCATTGTTTTCTCAGCCCTTTAGATGAGGCCAGACTGCCGTTAAGGCACCGTATACGCTATACATAGTATACTACACTGTGGGCAAACTGACGGCAGCCGCCATTGTCTCATTACGTGGATATTTGTTGACACGCTGAGATGGCGCTCTTGTCGCTGTTGCTTCTTCCCCTTCGTGCTCCCGTGATGCTGGCTCTGTCACTTCCAGCCATCTTCCTGGTCACGATCAGCCGCTGGGGCTTTGCTGTAGCTTGTGGAAGCCGCAGTTGCCGGGTAACAGCTGATACAGAACATAGCCGTGGTCAACTCGCCTCGAAGGTTGGGTCGCGATGTCTGCAGCCTTCTACCCAGAGTACAGCTGTTGGCATCTAGCAGTCGGAGGCCAGATCACGCAATTTAGGCACTTACATTAGGCAGTAGTCTTGGGCACAGGTGTCTGTGCAGCGGATGATGAGGAAGAGTCCAGTGTAATAGCCCTTTGGCCGCAGGCAAGCTTAGTTTCCATCAGCGAATGGGCAAAGCAGTGAAGCCATGAAAGACACGTGGGGACTTGGGCTTGGCAGAACTGTGCATGGCAAAGGAGCTTCTGCAGAACATGTTGGGAGACATTTGGAGATATCACCGTGACTTTGACTTTTCCCCCTGGGATGCCGCTTTGCTGCAACACTTTCGATTATGTGTAGTGAAAGAGATAGAGAGAGCAAGCAAGAGAGGGCGAGAAACAAGGAGTGCCGGGCAGTTCAATCTCTGATGGGCAAAAAACGGCGCAACAAGCCCGGGTTTCACCGCCAGTCGGGCTTTTTGTCACATGACCACGTGCGCCTGGCACGCGATCCACGGACCCACGGGCCGGGAGCAGAACGACAGCCACGAAGGCCTCAGACCCAGAACCAAACGTCCGACCCCCAGCTATGGACCGGCAAGAATCCCGACCACCAGACGCACAACACACGACCTAGCGAGAGGAACGGGAGACAAGCCAGAAGACGCAACCCGAACACAGGCAGGAGCAACTTCTTGCGTACCAACAAGCCCAGCTGCCAAGCTGAGCTTGAAGGTAGATGGTATAAGTGGACATGTTGTTGCAGGGCGGTTTGCTGTTTCCAGAAGATGCCCGAAAAACTGGTAGTGGCGCACTAGGAGCAGCCCGAAGCAGGCCGACCAGACGGGCCCCTGACAGGGCGCGGTGGGCACGGAGCAACACTCTCGTTTGTTAGCCTGCGGAGAGAAAGAGAGAGGCAACCGGCTACCCAGCGAAAAATGGAAAGGAGAAAAAGAGATCGCAATGGCTCCGGCTTCCAACGCTGAGAGAGCTAGCATGCCTCTGCACATTCACAAAGACTTAGACCTACCAAGCATTGAACAGGTGTACGGTCGAGAAGGACCCGAAACCCAGACCCGTGATGCCATGCGGTTTGCTGCTGTCTGGTTTGCTCAGAGAGCCTATTTGGGTGAGGCCAGTCCTCGACCTTCACCTGTGGTGATCGGAGCAAGCGAAGAACAGGTGCACAATTTGCAAATGAGTCCCAGGCTTCCTGCAATCCTGCCGCTTCTTCCACTCCAACCCATACATAGCTGGAGGGATTAGTGAAATGATTAGCGGGGACCTTGTAAAAAGCTGTTGACGCAGGACCACAGCACTGATCCTGCAACTTCCGTGTCCTTACGGACCTGGAGGCATCTCGTAGGCGAGTTCAGCATGAAGGACAAGGTTTCGCTGTGCTGACATTGGCCTGGCAGACTTAGCTCCGTGTGCACGGCGTGCATTTGATGCCGCCGGTCAGTTCCAGGATGTTTGGGACGCCTGCTTGAAGCGCGCAGTCACCCTTGGCGTGGAACTTCATGCAGCAGGACCGCTTTTGTGCCCCAGCTAGGCTTAAATCATCTGCACCTAAACGCAGAGTTTCCAGGACGGATCTCCACAGATGATCTGGAAGGGATGGAGCCATTCCTTTTCCTGGGACTTCCGGCAGTGGCTGTTGTCCAGTTGGTGCGGCGATCAGCAGACAAGAGTGGCCTCGTTTTCGACGAAGACAGGATGACAGCTGCTCATTTGCATCTGTAAGGTTGTGCAGTGTTCAGAATAATGAGAGTTAGAGCTGATTGAAAGACATCGTTGGCACTAGCTGCCATTGATCTGCTCACACGGTGCTAGTGGCTACGTCCACGGCCATTTGCCGTGTATTGCCTCTCGGCTTCGGAGCTCCGTCCGTTTTCCGACCAGCACGTACGAACTCGAATCAAGAGGTGCTGTCAGTCTCTGTTGCCACACTTCAATTTTCCAAGTAAGCATGTGATTGTGGATGTTTGGTGGTGAGATTGCTGCCTGTACAGTTTCCCAAGGTCACTTCTTCCAATCGACCACACAATGCGTTTGCAGACGGTATCTGGCATTCTGCAATGCGTGCCAAGCGAGCCTTGATAGAGTCACTGGACCACCGGTCTTTGAACGACGTGGACGTGGAGTTCTTGGAGCTTGCAGCTCTCAATCGTCCTTCGACAGACCTGTCACGACTGGATCTGGACATGGCGCGGAAGCAGCAACTGAACGCCGTGGTGACAGCCGCAGTTGAGCTGGCCATCTTCGCCTCACGCTCAGCTCAGTTCAAAGCCTCTATGGGCTCCGTACTTCAAGAGATAGTTGCGAGAATTCAGCCTGAAACTGCTTAATCGAGTTCGTGGTGCAAAGTTTCACACACGACCTATGGCAGCCTGTATAGACCTGCGGCTTGAGGCCGGCACAGCACTCGCTTGAGCGACCATCTGCACGAAGCATGTAGCAGGATGCAGCTGGTTGTGCTTTGCGGGCGCCGCACTGACAATATCTCGCGGAAGGTAAATCAATCTTGCATCTGACCCTCGCAGCGGTTCAGATAGGCGCAGGAAAAGTGAAGCTGGTCCTGTAGATATCAAACCTGCGGTGAAAGAGCCACCCAGCCAGAAACCGTACCGACAAGCCTTCCAGCACTTGCACGTGACGGGTGTTGTATCTGAGGGCTTACGCATTCCATGCTTTTGAAGACCTGCCGTACTGCTGTGCCCTATTCGAGCAAAGTGCCAGCAGCCGCAGTATTGTAAAGCCCTGCTTGAGCGGGAGAGACCACTGCTTCTGCAAGATGGTCTAGGATCGGGATGGGCTGCTGCCGCTGCGTGACGTTCACTTGGAATCCCATGGCCAACGAAGACCCCGGGCCCTGGGATTCCAAGCCAACGTTTCCGCAATGAGTTCTACGTCTTGCGACGGGGACCAACTCAACGGAACGTGGCAGGCAAAGTGCTAAAGTGATCAGAGGCTGAGTGAAATTGATTAGAGAAGTCCCCAGCTGAAGTGTGCCTGCACTTGGTGACTACACCAGCATGGATCTTCCGCAAGCTAGCAGTAAGGAAATGACAGAAGCCCGGCACAGCTGTTCAGTGCTCGGCAGAGGCAAAGCTTCTCCTAAGCCGACAGAAGGGCAGACGAGTATAAGAAAAAAGGGGGCAAACACAAAAGAGACGGTGTCGAGGAAAGCGATTTTTGCACTCGTTCGTGGTGCTGTCAGACGTACCGATGCGGCTTGCATGCAGAAGAAGGCTTGTGAAGAAACCGGGAGGGACCGTGTATCCCGGCGACGGGATCCCGGCTCCCCTTTAAAGAGGCACAGCAGAGCGCGGCAAGCACACAGATCCCAGCACTCCAGAGCCAAGGCCGGAAAACCCGAAGGTCGTCTTTGGGTAGATCTGTCGGAGCCCCAGCTCTGAGAAAATTTGAAATCACCGTTCGGAGACGGTACGAGCAAGGCCGGGCTTCTACCGAGGCGCAACCCCTGGGACGCCGGGCTTCGCACTCAGCTACGAGAGGACGGGACCCAGGAGTGCTTGCAAACAGCAAGCTCCTGCGGACTCAGGCCCTCGGAGATAAAGTGGGGTGTCATCGATCCTGTTTCCGGAAGGCGTGGTGCACCCTTGCACATGACGTACCCTATATCGTGAGCACGCGGGATGCCTCGGTATGTTTTTCGGACGACACCCTTGGAGCATGACTACATGAGATCCTCGAAAGCTTAAAGAAAGAAATCCGTGAGCTTTGTGGCGTGCCACGGAGATGCATGCGCAGCTTTCGACTGTAATCTCTGCATAGTGATTACACAATCAAGTACACTTGCCAGGAACATCACGCAGTTCCGTGGTGATCAACCGCAGCGAATTGCAGCTTTGGCTGCCAAGCACCTTCGTCAGGCACCTCAGAGAGTGAGCACACCGGGAAAGAAGGTGGAGATTAGGTTACCGGAGTTTGTGCAGTATGCAGTGAGCTCAGATCCCCCACAGCGACCTTGACCACCTTGGCCCTCGGTCGTGGAAATCGCACGCCTCCGGAAGCCACAACACTCCCAGGTGACTCGGTCGGTGGATGTGAGTAGCTTCCGTCCGTAGCTGCTGAGCAGTCTGAGCACCGACCCGAGAAAGGGACATTCGTGTTCACCCTGTCGTGATGCACTGAGAAATTTTAGCAGTGGTGGACACTGCCTTGCCAATACCGCTCACAGAGAAAGTGTCGGCCTAAAGCGAAGAAGGTAGCTTGCTTTCGGCACCCTTCCATGAAAGGCCCTGAGCTTCTTGGAGCCATCGTAGACGAACTGACAGAACGGACAACAGCACAAGACACGTCATCACACTTTGGTCTCCCTCATGCCAGCTGAGTCAGGCTGCAGTAGTATGCCATGCATCCGTAATGTGTACTGTAGTTACAAAGTAGTTATAGTGGCTGTGTTATGGCAACGGCACAATGCTTTGGAGCTCCTGATCGCGACCCGGGTGCCGTATGGGTTCGCCACCTACAGAGATCGAGAACTAAATCGAAGTTCTGGAGGCCAGTGCTGGTCACATGTTGACATGATGAGCCTTCGAATGTGTCATTGCACGGCTGAAGTTCTTCAGCCGAGGCGCCAGATCCATGTTGATCGCTTAGCTTACCGGGCTCAGGGTTTTGCCGGAGCGAGGCTCGCGATTTGAACACGAGCTCCTGAGGGGCCTCGTCAAGCTGACTTTGAGAGAAGCGTGAATGTCCGCAGCCACGGCTTGCAGGACTTCCCCCAGGGCGACAACAGCCCTGCCACAATGCAGTCAGTAAGTCAGCGAACGCCATCTAACGTTTCCTGAAATGTTGTATAGGGAACGTCACATCTGCAAGTGGCCTGTATGCTCTGTGGCTGCCGCTAGCTCAACCAAACCATTTTGCAGCATTTTGCGGTCACTGGAGCCTGAGCAGGGGAAGTCAGTGGCGCCCATGCTTGCTTGCCGCATTCGAAGCTTATCAGGGCAGAGCTTCGACTTGGAAGTACCTCCAGAGTGGCTCTGTCGAATTCGGTTCGACTCGGCTTTGTTCTGTTAAAACAGCTGTTCCAGGAAACGGCTTGCATCTTCGGGGCTACTCTGAACACAGGTCAACCGTGAAAGATGTGAAGTACCGAATCGAGCAAGACTGGGCGATCCCGAAGATTTGTGCCGGCCCCAGATGGAGAAATCACAAGCAGACAACCAGTGAATGCCAAACATGAGTCTACAGGAAGGGTGTCCGGGAGCGCTCTGCGGAGTTTTCGAGATTGATAGATTGATAGCGCTGCTAGACTCTGCTAGACGGTGCAGTGGTTAAGATACAGCTCTCCATTCGCTTTGGCCTGGCATTCCGGTTCACCCTATGTCCGCAGCTCAGGCCAGAAGCTTCTCTACAGGCCCGAATCGCAGTCCTTCCGGCGGATGTGGGCCATTTTGCGATTTGCCGGGAAAGAAAATGAGGGGAGAGAGAGAGGAGTGGAGGCCCACCGGCACTAAAACTTGCCGATACTGTGCTTCACAATAATGAGGACCGACAATGATGTGCGTTGATGTTCGTACTGTTGTTTGTGGTTGGAAATCTCTCGCAGTCGGAACAGTCACATCCGCCACTAGTTGTGCTTGGGGAGTCCCTGGATGACCCGTGAGCTGCCTGAACAACCCCCTCCCTATAAATAGGTCTAATGGGGGGGTCACAGGATTTCCGACCTATCGGTACCTATTTATTTTTATACAAGAGTGGGGGGTGGTGGCCGAAATAGGTCTGGACCTATTGTTTTGAATGGCCTGGTCCGGCATACCCTCCCGGGTCCCCCACCCGACCCCCCCGATGAAGAGGGGGTATGCCTGAACTGGCGTAGGGTTTAGAAGGAGTGTTCCTTGAGGGTGAGTCCCACAGACACATACGGGGGAACAGGACCACTTCCAGCCCCGGAAGAGGTCTCACAGACTTACTGAGGCGAACTGAGGTGGGGTAGGCCTTCGGGCCAAGGGGCTTCGGCCTCCATACCCCCAGCAAGCAAGCAAGCAAGCAGAGAGAGAGTAGGTTCCACGGGGCTGCTTGATTGAAGGTGTGGGTCTCTAGTTCTTTGTGAACCCGGGGATATCTGACTAGCAGAAACAGCAGAAGGCAGTGTGCCGATTTCCAGCCGCTCGCTTGAGAAGCAACACCTAACACACGTTTTCGGCATGTACTTCCCTTGTGTCCTTGTTTTGCTTCAGCTTTGGTCAACCCCTACAAGATTCCTGAGCGTGCTGAACAACACCACCCTGGGAAAAAACCAGAACAGCTCGTAGCCTGTAGCGTCTGCTGTTCTTAGGGATGTTGCCTTTGTTGCACTGCATCTGTGTACTACTTTGTTGAACTGTTACCAGAGCTGCCTCGGTGTTGCATGCATGTAATCATACTTCTCGCCCCGTAACATACGGGGGCGCTGATGCGCGCGGGCAGAGTGCAACCTCTGCCCACAGCCCTGGCGAAACAAAGAGGGACAGAAGCCAAAGTATTGCACTTTTGCTTGGGGGGTCTGTTCGCCCTCCTCGCATCGGGGGGGAGGCGGGGGTTGACCTGGACTGTTACTCCAGGGGAGCCTTCCCGTCTTCTCCAGCAGTGCTGACTGCCGTGTTGCTTCAGTGGCCCAACGCAGCGCCTTAGGACTCCGAACCATAACTGAAGAGGGCAAGTTTGAGCAAACTTTCTCAATACAGGCGACCTCGCTACTGCAAGGACTTCATCCCGTGGGCTCTTGACAGGAGGGGGACGGGCTGCTTCATCCACCAGGAATTTGCATTTGTGGGCACGCCGTTCCTTTCGTACCTCCTGAATGGGTGGGGGAGATTGACACCTCAGTGATCGTGAGTTGGGCAAGACGGGCGACCTCGTGACGTTCACCCTACGTGGTACAATGGAGGGGAGATGCAGAATATGTAGATGTGGGGGAGGGGCTTGCACGATTGGCTTCAGGGACAGGACTGACCCTGAATGTAGACTCCATGGGTCAAAGGCCAAAGGCAATGTTGTACCTCCTTCACGCCGTCGCAGCAGATCTCCACCTACTACACGGCAGAGCGGGGGAACACCCACAGTGAAGCCAACCTCACCTCGCCGCGGAACTTCTGAAGCAGTGGGAGGAGCCAAAACAAGCCGCCGGGGGAGGAGAAGCTTGGAGAAAGATGCCCCGTTGACTCGGCCCCTAGCCGAGATGACGGCCTTTGAAACAAGGCGGTGGCTGATCTTACTCTATGACGAGCCCTTGGACGACTGGATCGGGCGAGACATACAACAGTACACCAGCGGGCGCTACAAGGACGTGGCGGAGGGGGAAATCCTCACCAAAGTCAAAGCCAAAGCATACCGAGCCTTCCAAGCACGGCACCATGACCGTAACAATGTGGGGAGGATGGCCGACAAACTGGTCTGCATCGTTGACAAATACCTCCCGAGACAAGCAGAGGAGACCCGTATATACGTGGGACGCTTCCCCCACCACGTGAAGAAGCTCCCACGACGAGCAAGGCGCGTGCGCAACAAAGCGCGAACAAGACAGACGGGAGCCCACGCAGCCACAGACATGACACCAACAGCGACTTTGAGGACATCTGCGACACCTGCAAAAGACTTGGGGGGATGAGACCCCAAAGCAAGCCAATGAAGACGGAGACCAGCGGAGCACAAAGTTGGACCGAGAACTCTTGTCAAGCAGAATCGGAACGAGCACAGCATGCGACAACGGAGCACAGTGATGCAAGAGAGCATCGTGAGACAAACGCATCAACAGATTGCGGGGGAGCAGCCAAGATGACGCAGTGGAGACCCAAGAAAGCCCGAGTCCGGACAGCAAGTGGCCGTGGGGAACCGCAGGCAGACCATCGGACCATGACAATAGTCCTGGTGTGCTAGCCCAGCGCCCCAATGAACCGTTGGGGATCGTTGGGGGAACCACTGCGTGACCAACAAGCCCACAACGAGGACCGCGACGATGGGAGGGGGATACAACTTGTCCCGAATCGCATGTGGCAGAACGTACAGCAGACCCAAGCGCATGTGGCGCGCAGCCGTGAAGACAGGGGAAGACAGCATGGCCCTGGCAAGCGACAGTGAGTGAGGGGAATACGCCCCACATGCAATTTTGTCTTCACCTGAGGATAACCTCACCACCCTGGAGACTGTGTTCGCACTCTGAAAAGGTTGGTTCTGAACGGCAACTTCTGAGAGCGATTTCAAAAATTGCTTGTAAGGTGTGAATTTTTTGTACGGGCCATAATTAATGCCCTTCCTCAAACAACCCCATGGCAAATGGGCCACTTAGCCCCAAATCCTAGCTTCTTTTCAACTCCCCTTTCATACTCTGACCTCGCCTTGCCAACGAGGGAATTCGGGGGGACAACTGAGGCTTTAATTAGGGACCAACAATGACCCCAGGCTCCTGCTCAAAGCAGCGGGAACAAAGAACGTTTTTGCCTTACGACCCCAATCATCTGGACTTCCCCTGCTGATAATCGGGACCCGGCCTTAGTATCTCATACTCCTCAAGTACCCTTTGCCATTTCCGCTGCTGTTGTGAATCAGTCGGGGCTTTGTTTCGGTCCGCACCTTAGTTACGTGTGGTTTGTGTGTCAACCTAGCATGGTGTGGGTGTGTGGTGTGGCAACTGGCAGTTCTTTCTACGTACAAGGAGAATGTCCTTCGTATAGCCGAGCCCCTCTGCGGCAAAACTGCGGGGGGGGAAACCAAAGACGCCCGTGACTCGCGGGTGCGCGCGAGGGTTCGGGGCTGAACGCTCCCCGGCTCCTCTTTCCCCGGAGAGAGAGAGAGAGAGAGAGAGAGAGAGAGAGCGGCCTTGCTGTTTTCTGTCTATGTCAGCGACAGTGCCCTTTCCCGTTGTACCGGCCTGCATGATTTGCTAGACTTCGTTCAGCACAACTTTTCCTTCTCCGACGTCGCTTTAACCTGACAATGGTGTCATACCCCTGTCCGTGCAACTTGTTACTAGTTTAGACGTGCCGGAGCCTCCAGGTTGCTCGAAATCCGTCGTTGCCGGGGGCCATGTACCATATACTTTGTACTATGGCCGGTACCTTTTGGGAACATCTTGTAATTGAACTTTCTTTGTACCCGGCACAACAAAGGCAGTGATTGCTGTTTACCGGTGTGGTGTTGTTCATGTTATTCCCTCGTTTTCCTGCCTTTGTGGTGAGCGCTTAATTCACTATTCGCCCCACAACAGTCGGGGTCGCTAACACGCGCGGTGAACGGGATCTCCCCTTCACCCTAGCCCTGGCGAAAGAAAGAGAGAGAGAGAGAGAGAGAGAGAGAGAGAGAGAGAGCGAGCCGCCAACGCTCAGAGCACTCCCTTCAATCTCTATGTCCGATCATCAGACGATCACAAAAAAGTGCAGTAAAGTGCTAGGTCAATTGAGGGGAATGTTTCAGTATTGAATACGTTCGATTCGGCAGGGACCAGCTCCTGGCGGAAAAATGCCGCTGCCAAAGTTTTGCAGACGGCTGCATCGAGCTCCAGAGCCTCGGGCAGACATGGCAATGGGCGGTTTTCTGTGCACTCTGAGACACCTTCAGTGCGAGACATTGGTGGAATTCCATGGCCAGGTTGGTGATTACCACTGAGATCTTGCGTTCCTCATTGAGCTCTGCTCTGGCTTTGGAGGTTCGGCCCGGACAGCGACAAGGTCGCAGCTGCTCTTGTGTTCGTATCGCAGGCTTTGCAGGGCCTTCACGGCATCGCCAAGGAGAGCGCAGGAGATCCAAAGGCCCTTCGGCCGAGGACTTCCAGATCTTCACAGGACTAAGTCCTTAGGCCCTAAGCGTGAACCGGACTGCATGGGACAAGGGCTTCGGTCATCTTGCCGAGTTCATCTTCCATAGGTATCGAACAAAGGAGACGGCAGGGGGGCGGGAACACGGGCCCTTTCATACTGGTTGTCGGGCTACTGGCGTGAAGCGTGTTAGAAATTAGACGTCATGGCTAGGATGAAGACGTTGAGCACAGTGACCTATGTCACGGCAGACCACCATCCCACCGTCAGGTCTGGTCGGCAGTGGAGGCTGAAGCCCACAGCTCAGCGGTGAAGAGACAACCGTGCGGCGAGATCTCCCCACTTTGTTGGCTTGGTACTGAGATGTACCGAGGTTTGGGATAGCTTAAATCAGCCATTGCGAGATGTTCAAGATTTGGCCACTTCAGTCCTCATGGCAGCTGCTGGCGAACCTCGGCAACGTAAACAGCAGGGCTGTTGTGTTGGCTGCTTGTCGGTGGTGGGCGCCTTGTTGGCAGCAGTCACATGATAGTTTCATGTTGCACCCTGTAAGACGAATCGTAGTCGGCAAGATCATTGGCCGGTTGATTAAACGTGGAAGATGTGGAAGGCATCAGGTGTCTTTGATTCCTCGTCCCTCCCAGCCATTTTCAGGCTGGCAGGTCTGGAACGCGAGAGGAAGACACTTGTCTGCTGGGCATGGCAGCTGTTTTGTTCAACACATCTGGTGTGGCAGTTTCGGCAGTAGGTGCGGCACTGCGCTTGTTTGCAAGGTCTTGGAGCGTCTCGAAAGTCAAGATGAGCGCTCCAGGCTTGGCGGTATTGGCTCGCGCTTGTTAAGTCCTTGCCAACGTCAGCTAGACGTGCACAAAGACTAAACAGCATCGTCATTGCATGGATAGCTAGTCAACCTAGTACACTGTGTGGGGAGAGATGATGAGATCAAAAGGCTCGTTGCTGTGCAGATGCTGGGCATCATGGGCAACCCGGATGCACATTTTGTGTGCCAGGACACAGATGTCCTTGCACTTCATCGCCGTGTCACGAGAAAGAACCATAAAGAATCTCTATGTGAGGGTAAGGAGTCGACTTCAGTGACTTGTGCTCCTGCAGGCGACAGCTTGTGCTTCTTCTCGCAGCTCTTGTAGGCATTCAACTCTTGACCAACATGATCACCTCCTTCGTCGATGGACTTCGGATGAAAAGGGAGGAAAGATGCATCCGCAGAGGATCAGGCAAAGCTGGGAGAAGCCTATCTATGCCAGCACTGTACGATATGCAGGCAGGACATGACGAAAGCTCATCCAAAACGGCTGCTTCAGACACATGTGGCTGGCTGACTGCTTCTACTCGTGTCCGCCGAGCCTGGACGGCCCCCGGAACACGACGGCATAATGAATCCAAGTAGGAGAACCCACAGTGCTCATTACCACGCCTGACCAAAGCTCGCATTCTGGATCTTCATCGCGAAGCCACTGACTGGTCACGCAGAAACTTGTCGAGTTTCCGTCGTGTTCTGACATCCACAAATCCACAAACAATTCGCTCCTGTCTCCACAAGCTTGGGCATAATGTTATGGTCTTGACAGCACTGAGGTGATGCATCAGCAGACGCGCTGAGGCGGCGGCTTTTAGACCCGAGCGATACGGTGCGGGCAGCGGCGGCAGAGGCTCGTGCACAGCAGTCACACCAAGTCTTCCAAGTCTTCTCAACGGGACATGCGAAGAGGACAACCCTTGGACTTGGAAGGGGCAAGTCTTTGGAACAAGAAGCGGGAAAGGAAGCACTGATGCCACCGGGTTTGACTACAGCATTCGAATCCAGCATCTTCCTCTGCCTGCTGAGCAGGCGTTGGCTTCTCGCCCGGAGTTCCTGGATCAAGCGGCCAGGCAACGCACTTTGTGCTGGTTTCGTACATGCCAACCATGACTGGTTCGCGAGTTGGTCCTTTGCGCTTCCTGTTGAGTTACCTTCGGTTGTTTCGCATCACTCTTCGCAACGGGGAGGTTCGCTTTAAGCGCCTTGCTCCATGACCGGAGTGCTCTGGTTCGGACGGCGGCCATGCGCGGCCTCGCCCGCTTCGTCTCAATGAGCGGATGTGCCACTGCAGCAATAACAGTAGCATCGAGCACGAAGACGCTACCCAACTGCCGCCATCACAAATTGGTCTATCTATGTTTGTTTACTCCATGAAATCGCATCCCATGCATGCCCTGACAGTCGCGGGAACAGACATGGCTGCAGCTAAGGTCCTGTTTGTGCTCCAGCAGGCGCACAGAACAATCTGCACGCATATCACGCATGCTGCCGACTCTATGTATCATTTGTTGGATGTGTGGCAGGGGCATGTTGTCGAGAAGGGCGGGCGATTTTGTGAAGAAGCCTGCTCTGGCAGGCGACTCTCAAGAATACGCAGATAGGCTGGAATTCGCTTTTCTCGCAGTCTTAGCACGCCTTCAGCACCCTGATCCGCCCCTGGGTCGCAAGTCTGTCTCACCCTCACCAAACACAAGGGCTCATCAGGGGCTGTATTGAGCAGACTGAGGTCGGTGCGCAGCTCTGTGGCTGGTGCCGCGGGTGCTGTGCTCAATGCTGCAGCGCGGCGTCGCTGCGAACGCTGCAATGGCCGACGTCGCCCGGAGGCGGCAGAGGCGTGTCCGACAGCATACGAGCGCCACCCAGGCATACCCAAATAATTCTACAAATGGCGACAGTCCAGCCTTTGGCTCGAGGGCTGCAGGAGTGATGCATCCATGCTTTAGATCTTTGAAGAAGTTACAATCTGCTGCTGATCGCTTCTCGTTTCGGAATCATTCATTTGCTTGTAAGCGAGGTTACTTCAGCTCATGATCTTCGTGTGCCTCCATACCTGTGCCTGTCGATGCTGTTATGAATGTGGTATTTGTGTATCTATTCGGTCGTCGTTTGTCCGGCAGGAGTGAAGATAGGCAGACAAAGCAGCAGCAGCAGCAGCAGCAGCGGCAGCGGCAGCGGCAGCGGCAGCGGCAGCGGCAGCGGCAGCAGCAGCAGCAGCAGCGGCGGCAGCGCAGCAGCAACCTGCTTTTTCCCAGCAGGAGACGAGCTTTGCCACCATGGCTGCTCAAGCCCTCTCCGCTTGTTTGGCCGATGAATGTGCTGCAGAAGCTCGGTCGGACTAAAGAATACTACGGAAGGGCTTCTTTGATTTGCTAATTTCGACGTCCCGGGACTGCAGCAACTGCCGTAGTCATACACAGCCAGCCTCCTACAAATCTGATTCTGGTAGCAGGTACAGCTACAGTCTGGGTGGATTAATTCATTGCAGTGTTCGTTGAAGGGTCTCAGAGTTGTGACTCAGATTTGACCCTGACCTGCATGGACGTGCAGCCGTTTGTCATTCAATCAAGTCCGAGTCGTTTGAGATTTTTGGGTCGGGCACCGGGCACCGAGAGGGTCAAGCGCAGCGGCACTAGTACCCATATCAGCCCGAGGTACGTGCGTTGGCATTGCAAGCCTTGGCAGAGTTTCATGGAGGTGGAAGGGCAATGGGCAAATATGGGCAAAGTTGGTAGCAGACTCGGCAGACCCCGCCCTAGATTGCTGACAGTCTGTCCGACATGATAATTGATGATGCCTCCTTCGTTTGGGAGTTGGTGCTGCCCTGCAGGGAACGGGAAAGATAGAAAGATCATGGCACCGGAGCTCTCTGCACTCAAGAATCAGGCAGGTAGCCCAGTATTTGGCATTTTCTGTCAACTTTGCCTAAAGTTGCTCCACGCTGCAGCTGCTGCTGTTGTTCACTAGGTTTGCAGACTTGCAGGTGGCCCCTTGCCTAAAGCACATGGACGCCGGAGTCCGTGTCGCAGCCACACGTGCCACTGTTCGCCTTGTACAGCTGGAGCCTGAGGCGTGTTCGCTCGCTAACGTGTGGTGCAATGCATTTGCTTTCATTGGGCACTTTGGCATCGGACCTGTCACAGCGCATCCTCCGCTCAGCCAAAGTTGCAAGGAATGGCGACAGGGAGTCGATCCAGGTTCTTCAACGGCTGGTGCAGAAAGACACCGACATCAGCAGCTTGCCCGTGATGAAAGCATGCGCACGTCTGCGTATGCGTACAGAGACAGAATGTGCATTCAAGGATACGAGGTTGTAAGGGGTTGCTGCATCATTTTGCTGGCTTGGTTGAGTCAGGTGTCCGGACGGCAGCGAAAAATGCTCTGCTGGCGCTGGGGGTGGACCCCTTTTAAAGCTTTGTCTATTGACGGTTTGCGTGGAGGGCAGCTGGCTTTGTGGCAATATGTCCACCGTGCTGATCATCAGTAAATTTTAAAGCTTTGTCTATAAGCACCCCATGCTTCCACAAAAATTTGGTTCCTTCATTTCTCCGTATTTCTAAGTACATCGCGGGGCACCAGAACTGAGCGGAAGCATGGGGCAGAGAGAAGGAGTGGTGGAATTCTGTTAGGCTAGGCCACGGAGGCTTAGATGACCTTTGCATGGGTTCCACTTCAGCATCTCGTGGCTTCATAGCCATGCTACTTGCAAGCTTGGTTTCTGACGGAAAAGTGCGAACCTGTGCCGTATCCCATGGAGCTTATCATTGAGGTTGCAACGGCTACAGGCTGAGGAATACTTCTGATCCATGTAAACATCGCTGCCTGTGCGGTCAAAGGCTAACCTCAATGGTCTGCAAAACCGGACCCTGCTGGACTCAGAGGCTCAAAAGTGTGGGCATGGAACCGCCGCCAGGCCGCCAGGCACACAACCAGCCCAGCACCATTCAACACCACACTGTCTACGCTGCCCGGTGTGCCCATGGCTGGTGGTTGGTTGCAAAGGGGTCCTGTGTATATAACTCTGGGATTCTGCAAATCCGCTATCACTATACGAGATCTCTTCCACACGGCTTCAGGATGGATGCATGGAGTCTCAATTCAAACTGTGATCTTTGGTGACCTGGCCATGCCAAGTAACGGTCTTGAGAGTGGAGATTCTGTGCGGCTAACATCCACACAAGCCGCGATCAATTGGCAAGAGGCCCGGAGGCCACCAGGACATTGGAAGGAGCGCTGGGAGCCTGAGCTGGACAAAGACCTTGCGAGGCCATGTGAAGTGGCAAAGGGCAGGAGAAAAAGGAAACGGGACCGCAAGCCACATGTCGGTCGAGAGAAAAAGAGAACGAGCACAGCCAAAGCCAGACGAGGGCCGAGCTGACTGTGATGGTCTCGGCAAGGTCGCGTTCTAAGAAGCGCGGCCGCAGTGCCGACAGGGTGTCCCACCCAGCCGACTCATGCACACGTCGACATCTTTTCGCAGCTGCAGGAACTCGGCAGGATTGTGGGCAAAGCTGCACTCCAGTGCAAAATGTGCTTTAGAATCACGGTGATCAGAGGATAGGAGATGTCGGAATGGGTCGGCGCCCGCAAGGTGCCCGAAGCTGGCGATGAAAAACAAGTCGGAAGGACGGGGATGTAGGTAGCCTAAATGCGCAAAAAAATGCGCAAGAGGCTTCGGCATGTCACGTCTGCAGGAAGAAGCAGAAACGCATCGAAAAGCTCCAGGCAAAGAAGGCGCCGGCATTCAACATCAACGGTTGTTGGCAGAGTACTTGCTGTGTTGACATTGCACCTGTGGTCTGCGTGTTGGTCCTTCGTGCAAGAGGAGGTTTGGCTGCTGAATGCCGACCATTGCTGCATCTAAGAATCTATGGTTTCAGCAGGCTCGGGTTGCAAACACGTCTGCGGCAGCTGCGAAAAAGGCAGCGGATGAGGCCACCGGAGCTCGCAAGCCTGGCTTTGATAGTCTGAGTTCTATGGGGCGAGAGAGTCTTCAGCATAATGCGAGACACTTCGGTCTACAAAAGGCTGGACACGACATGCTTGTGAGGCGGCGGAAGCTGTAAAGGGCAAGGCGTGGGACGTGCGACGGCAGCGTGAGCCCTTTACGAAGGGATCCCTTCGTCGAGGCGAAAGCCAAGGATGGCCAACTCTCAAAGGCTGCTTTTGACTCCTCGGTGCTTGGCTACCGCTGAGAGCTTTGAGCACTTCTGAGCATACTGCAGGCCTTTTTGGCTCTGTTTAGTTTTCATAGGGGGCGATTGGCACTGGGCGGCTCAGCATGGCCAGCGCAGAAATTGATGTTGAAGAGGCGAAGACCCCCGCGCCGGCGAAGGTGCACAATTCTTCAATGAAAGTTGTGCAGGAACACTGTCCGATTTGCAGAGGTAAGCAGCGATGAAGTTCTTCGTGCTTCCAAGTGCCTGCCATGTCCAGGTAGGCTTCGCCGACATCGCCAAGCACTTCGTGCTCATGGGATGGACAGCCTTCGGAGGATTCCCATGAAATGATGCTCCTCTCACTCACCATCAAGCCATTGGCCTAAGGCGTAGTCTAAAAATTAAAGCCTTAAAGCTAATGCTGGGTTCACTGTGGTGCAGAATGGCGTTTGAGTGTCATGTCGCCAATGGTGATGTAATGACACAGCTGCTTGGGCCTTGGGTTTTGGAGGACCTGCGGCACATGTTGGACTGTTTCAGAATCTTGGCTTCAAGAAGAGTTCGGCGAGGCGTAGCAACGTCCAGTGATAAAATGCCGGAGCATGCAGATCATGACATCATGGCAGGTTTGGTTTGGCAAGTTGGTGCCATCACGTTTTTGACAACGATGTCACTCTTTGAGAGAGTGAGTGTGTGTGTGTGTGTGTGTGTGTGTGTGGGTGCGTGGGTGGGTGGGGGTGGGTGTGTGTGTGTGTGCGTGCGTGTGCGTGCGTGCGTGCGTGCAGTTGCCGTCGATGCTGTCGGTGTGCTATCATGACGGGAGTGCGTTGTTTTTTTACAAACCCTGAACCCCACCGAAACGGCCAGACACCAACTTGTGAGGAAGACGTTCGTAGAACGGCTGGGGTGGATGAGCGCCGACGTCTTCACCGAGCTTTTCGCAGTGTGCCAGTGCATGCAGCCTGGCTACGTAGCACGTCGATCATTTAGCAAGCGGAAATCGGCAATCGTGTCGAGGACTGACTCGGGCTAGCTGCAGGAATTCCGGGTTCAAAGCTTCATGCTTATTATGAAGACAAGCTTCTCTCACCACCGGATGAACTTGCTCTTATGTACTTATCACGCCAAGATGGAGGCTGTGCAACTGGCAGGTTTTTGCAGTCAATTCTCGACACAGGCTTTGCCGCAGGGGGCAAAGGGGTCGAAAGGGCATCGTTCAGCATCAGAAGGGAATCAAACCGGACGGCAACAGTCAGATGGTTTATTCTGCGCGCAAGAGCGCAGCATACAAGAAGCGGGAGGTTGAACAACTGGCATGTAGCGAGATCTTGCGAGGCAAGGTGTTTATTCATTTGAGGTGAGAGGCCAGCCCAAGCCCCAGCCACGCAGCTTTGCCAGGTGTCTCAGCGAGCATATTTGTTTCTGGCAGCGGGTAACATAACTATCTGTAGTGTGCCAAAAATTCGCACAACTGCATCGCATGTCTTGCTTCGCCACAAGGGCTGCTTCAATTCATCTCGCTTATGTCGGTACTCCTATCCTAGCTCTGGTGCATTGGTTTCAGAACCTGAGCTCGCCTCGCTAGGATGCGGTTCCCAACGGGCATTGCAGACCTGTAACGGCAACGATGAAAGGAATGGCCACCCATAACACTGCAGGTCGGTCTCTTCTTCCGGTCGACCTTTGTCAAAGTTGTTTGGATCGAAACGTTTGAGACCCATTGTGTTGAATTTGTACGTTCGTAAAAGATCCCTCACTCGATCCAGACTCAAAGCCGCTGCTGGCATGCATGCCACCGATACTTGGAGAACATGCTTACTCCTCCCACCGTGCAAACTCTTCCTGGCCGAATGCACCAAGAGCAGGCATGCTGGGGTTGAGGGAGCTGTAGAAGACCACATGATATGACCCAAGTGACATGGCCTTGCAAGCAAAGGCCTGGCCCCAGCTCTACGCAAATGTGTCTTTGATGCAAGTTCTGGGGAGGCTGCACGCAAAGGGCTCTTCACTGCCGTCCGGATGTTCATTGACGTTCATGCAGGTCATTTGCGCTGGGTACAACCAAGCAGGGTGTTGCCGGAGGGCCGCCGGGCGGAAATAAGTATAGCGCACCCTAGCGATTGAAGTCCCTATAGGCTTGTGGACGTTGAAAGCCTGCGCGTGCGTTCTTTGCCTGCTCACACTGAGGCTTCTCAGTGGCATTCTGTTCCAGTATCCTGGGGCTATCATGATGACGATTTTTGGGTTGACTGCCCACAATTGGGCTACGCCGCAGGCACGGTTCTCATTACGAAGCTTGTACTCTTTTGTGGAAAAGCCATCGTTTCAGGTCATCAGCGACTACACCTGGCTGGCTGGCTTGGTCGGAGGTTTGAGCGCAGCTGGCGTGGCACTGGTAGCCTCGGCGGCCATTGGACTTTGGAACAAGGCATGCGGCTCTGCAGATGCCAAGGCCTTAGCTGGATTCTGCTGTATCGTCTTGCTCTACTACTCGGCCGAACTCATCGCGCCAGTTGAACGCAACGGTCGTAACTGGATGTGGATCTTCCCGACTCTGATCATCTTTGGTGGAGCTTTCACATACCTTTGGCGTGGTCCGCTTCCTGAGTCAAAGACCTCTGCAGTTCCCACAGCAGAGGAAAGTGGGGTGGAGCATTTTGGCCTTGGACCAATAGGTGGTGCGATGCTCATCGTACTTGTGGCCCTTGTGTTCGTGGCAAGCTATGTCCTGCCTTCGGTACTCGAGGAGTCCGACTTCAAGCGTTTGTTTTGGTTTTCGGCATTTTGGCGGACAGGGACCGTGATCTGGGGCGGTGGCCAGGTGGTGCTTCCATTGCTTGAGAACGAGATGGTGCCCACGGGCTGGGTGGACAAGTCTGTTTTCTTTGCTGGCCTGGCCCTGGCACAAGCAATGCCTGGGCCTCTCTTCAATTTTGCTGCCTTCCTTGGAGCAGCCGCTGGCTACAAGGCTTACATGACGGTGGGAGAGGGCGTTTTGGGGGCTGTGCTTTGCTGGTTGGGTCTGTTTGGGCCTGGAGTTATGCTCATTTTCGGAATCCTTCCCTTCTGGGGCCAGTTCCGTTCCAACGACACCTACAAACGGGCACTTCCGGGCCTCAACGCAGCAGCTGTGGGCCTTCTCTGTGCCGCCTTGGTCCAGATGGGAGCCGGAGTACGGGAGAACAACACGAAGCCGAACGGCCCCATTCCGAAAGAGGCATCGACCTGCATCGGCCTGATTGCCTTCTGGGGAGTTCATTGGCTCAAGTTTGCTGACCGGCCAATGCTCAGTCAAGTCCAAGCCCCCATCGTTGTTGTCGTGTGTGGCATCCTCGGCCTTATCTCGGGAGCAATCGAAATGCGATGAATTTAAGTTTGAAGATTTTCTGTCGTCAGTCGTCTTCTGGCAATCTGGGTCTCGTCGCGAACGTCCTCGAGATGCGGTGAGTTCAGATGCCAACTTTTTCGGCTAGCTCTGGCCTCAACTAATATCTTCGCCTGTCCAGCATCATAAGCCGCAGTACACCAGCAGAACGACTTGGAGAGTTGAGGCCAGAGCACTCTTGATTTACACGCACCATGACCAAGTCATGTGTGCGTTGCTCAGCCGGGCTGCGGAACGGACGCCGCCATGTTTTCATAGACCGTTGCTAATCTATACCATTCTATACCACAACTGCTATTAAATAGCAACCATGCCCAAAATCGTTGCTCGTAAGTGATTGGTGCTCGTTTTCATCCCAGTGTCTCGCACGGAGAGCTATGCGTTGGAGGCAGCCTCGGAGCTCATTGAGAAGCTACGATCTGGAGGACCTGCACACTTTTTTCTGCTTCCCAAAAGGACAGCCTGTAGGAATTATAGGACGACTCGCTAAACCGCGACAGCCGTTGAGTGATTCCATCGTCAAAGCTGGACAGCTACTGCTTTTCACAGGGCCGGCTGGTGACCGAAGGCTGTCTGGACCCAAGAGTATGACAGAACTCTGTGTAAGTGTGCAGTTAGCTTGGAAATGCTTGGAAGTAGCGTGTGACTCACGCGGACGGAAGCCCGTTCTCTTGAGCTATGCCTGAGACTAGCTACCGCTGCCGAGCGCATTGCTGCCGAGCCCGAGAAGGACCCGCACCAGCCTGGCCGATTGGTTGAGCTTCGGGAAGGAGGGCACCAACCTCAAACACGGTAGCAACTTTGTCTTCCCGACATCATTTACGTGGCAAACTTTTGGCAGAAGGCTTTTGCCAAGATCGTCAGGAGCTTGACCTGTTCGACATCTTCTTTCACTTACATCGTTTGCCACCGAGTGTCCGGAAGCATGCTCGGGTAGTAGATGCTGCCATTGGGAGAGCTACTAAAGCCAACAGGTGCAAGATAGTCCGCTTGATTTGGCATGCCGAGGTGTGAGCAAGGACCGTGAGACCCGCTTGATGGCATTGCTCTCAGGCGTTGCTGTCTTCAAGGATCTAGTTCCAGGCCAGCCTTGGAACGAGAAGTGCCCTTAGTGTAGATGACCCATCGCTGAGTTGTCTTGCTATACCAGCGTCGGCAGGTTACCGAATTCGCGAGCCCACAGAGCAGGAAAGGGCTCAGATTCGATCCAAGCCATGGCCCCAGGAGATGGCACCGGGCATAAACTGTACAGCGACAGCAGACCAGCTGAGAGGACGAGCAGCGGCGTGATGAAGCACGTTACAACCTGTTTCCACAGCTAGGTAGCAACTCTGGTTTAACCTGCTTGCGCCGCTTCAGCCATCCTCATGCCATTTGGTGTTGCGTGAAGGAAAGCTACTTACTCAATCTTTCCTGATTGGTCTTTCTTTGAGTCGCATTGAATTCCAGCATTCTGTGGGGCTCCGGATGCTCGGGCAGCTGCGTGAGCATGTGGGTAGCAGTTTCCACAACTCAAAACGTGTTCTTTCTTGCAGACTGCTGGGCGAAAGGAGCTGCGGATGCCCGAGCAATGGTCACTGGACCGTGTGTCGATCGTTTATAGGACTTCAAGCTGTTGTGATGCCCAATGAAGCCTCATTGCTTCAATCCGAGCCAACCGTACCCTGCACGTTATCCGCGGACGTGCGCTGGGGATGACGGACAGCAGAGGGTCGACATCAAGAAGCGTAGGCAACGGAACCGAAAAGACGATGTGATCCGAACATGCAAGCAAACGTTTGGAGGTGAAGTTGTCAAAGCTAAGTTTAACGGTGGTGCGAGTGTGTGAGTCGAATTTCGGTGGGGGTAACAGATGGATGACTCTCAGAAGATCGTAGCACAAGTTCGAACCAATCAAACAAGCGTTCCAAACGGCTTTTCAATCGCAAGTCGGTGCAGTAGTGACGATATACCCCGACGAGGGGCGAGTTGTCACCTCCTGAAGCAACAAGAGGGTGGGTCTGGACGCTCAGGCCAGTGCTGGCTCTGGAGAGATACGAGCTGAAGCTGCTGCAAACTTACAGGCAGTCATTACTCGTCGACTCCTACCAGAGACTGCAACTCGTGCAATGCTCCTTGAGCCAGGCGTTTGCTGCCAGATTTGGAGGTGGGCAGAGCGACACCTGGAGATGAATGCAGCCAAAGACACTGACAGACCCACGGATTCCTCAGGTAGCTGATTCCAGCTGTATGAGCTCAGTGACAGTGAAGACCAAGACATGCTATAGAGCAGCAGCCCGCATCAACCACATACACACACAGCATTGCAGGTTACAACCTGTCACGACAAGCCGCCGCACGCGAAAGAGCCACGAATCATATAGCGAGTAAGTCTGTGCTCCCATGATGCAACTGCACATCACCACACTGGTTTTCTTGGGCCGCACCGCTGAAAGATGCTTGTCTAAAAGTGCATGACGGCTGAAGGGTGCAAATTCTCAGATCGACCACCAGCTCGTGAGCTCGCGATTCGAGGCGATGAGCTGGCAGTTGGCCTTGGAAGGGGCGAGCCAGAGCCAGCCTACAAGCGACTCGCCCCTCTTGCTCTTGCCCGGATCTGCACAAGTCGGCCGTGGACAGACTGCCATCATCCGGTCGACCCACCAGTTGCCTGCCATGGACTTCAGTAAGCTTCGTATCTTCGTGAGCCCTGCTCGAACTATTGCTCTCGACTCCCCGAAAACCCTGCAGCCATCAGGTCTGTGTCAAGAGTTCATGCTGAGCTGGTGATCAAAGCAACCGAAGGCAGGCCATAAGACACGTCGCATACAAAACCACCATGCTGCGCCTTCATCTGCTTTGGTGTTCCTGGAGGTTCTTTGGCTGATGTGCGCCCTTTGGAAATCAGTCTCATTGACCGCTCATCCACCGGCCACACTTTTGTGAATGAGCTGAAGACACCGGGCAACGGAGTTCCGGTCAAGCTACAGGACGGCGATTTCTTCACGTGCGGCATTGACCCACTACGCTACACAGTGTGCCGTGTCCTTGAAGAACTGAAAACTGTAATAATTATTTCCAAACGCTTGAATGTTTCGGCCGAACCACTTTGCAAAAACACTCCCAAAGCACTGCCTAGCATCCAGCCACTGGAGCACCTTAGCAGCTTGAGGGCCTGCTGAGAGTTTGGTTCGGCAGTTCACAAGGAGAATCCCGGCGAACCTAACATGCAACTCAGGCAATGGGCAAGAGCTCTTTCAGGGGTCACATTCTTGGCCCCCAGGAGTTACCGGCTCGCAAGTCACATCCCAAACGATAAAAGCCCGTGCTCTTGTCTGCCTTCCCATTTTGGCGTTCATGGGTTTTTTGTTGGAGTCCGCGCGCGGCTCTGGCACCAAACATCCTGTGATTCTGTGATATTCTGTGCATCCAAGGAGGTGGAGGCCCATTCTCCTCAGCGTTTCTAGCCGCCTCTCGGCAGCTGAGCTGCGGGGCTTGGAAGACCTGGCCCGTGCATGTGGAGTGCGTCTAGGATGCATTTCAAGCTAAAACATGCAAAACATGCCAAAACCGATACCTCGGGCCAAGACTCCAAGGAGGCAGAGCCGAGTGTAAAACGCAGCCAACCCTCGAATCGGTCGCGATTGCCATGACTTTGCCTCATTTGCGGCACCGTCGTGGTCCTGTTGCCATGCAGTGCTCGAGGATGTCGGCAGTGCCTCGTCTTTGGGTGGGTGCAGAAGCAGAGAACATGGAAGGGTTGTGGCAGCTGACTCCAAGAGTGATGATCGCTATAGTCGATGCTCCATCTGCGGCATGCAATCTTGCTGAATGCTTTGTCACTCATTCTCGAGCTTTCTCCGGACCCTTGCCGTTGGTGCTCAGATTTGTCCGTACCTGGGTTTGGAGTTCCTGCTGCATGGTGCGAGATACTACGCAGCACAGCAAGCTGCTTCGAGTAGATCCAACTCATTTGGGGAAAGCCCGTCGGGCGGAAAGTAAGCATGTAGCAGTCGGAGTTCGGCCTAAACCGTGAGATCGACTCGGTCAAGGGTCATTCTCTTTCATACTGCTTGATGAGAAGGTGATACAGGTCGCTGTCACTTCTGAGTCAAAATCTCTTTGCACGCACCTTTTGGAGCAGGTTCCTCACCACAGAGTGGACGCAGCAGTGCACCCACCTGCTGATCGAGCAGTGGGCGATCACTCCGCAGCTGGGTCAAGCTCATCCTAGATTGACGCACTCTGATGCTCTGAACATCTCGGCACAGCGAAAAGGGAACTCAGGAAGCTGCTGTGCTGCATCATCGACGGCGCGTGGCTTGGAGCAAGGAGGGTTGGAAAGACGTCGAAGGACTTAAATCGGCTTGATCTCAGGTTGCCAGTCGCCTCATCTTTCCTTGACGATCTCGTGTCTCGCTGTGACACAGAGCTCCGGCCAGAGCTCCTGGGATGAAGCAACGCTAGAAAACGGGCGTGATCTTCGAGCAGCATTTGCAAGTAGGTCGCTTGGTCTCGGGATTCTGAAGGTCCACGGCTGCATACCGAGGCCAGCCACGGCCTCGTGTGCACCACGCCCGCCTGGAGGAGCACGCTGAGCCCCACGTAGCCGGGCTTTCTTAGCTCCTGGCACCCAGGAGCCGATGCGGCCTACGGCGCCGAGCTCTCCGCCTATGCCAGCAGCCCTTCTCCACGGCGTCAGCTCCTGAAAGGCACCTCGGCCTCGGGACCTACGACATGGGGTGTCTTTGAGATGCCAAGACGCCAAGAAGACGACACATCTCTAGACTCCAGTCAGTGACCGATCCTTCCCCCCTATAAAGTGGTCTTAATGCCATTGACACAAGATGCCGCAACGCTTGATGGAGGAAATCTTGCACCACCTATTTAAAAGCGCGTGACACGACACATGAGCATAACCCCACACCCCCTTATTGATATTGACGATGATGGATACCGAGGTGGTGCAAGATTTTTGACATTAGAACCCACGGCACTTCGGAGGATAAAAGGGGGCGGGGGGTCTCTGCTTGTTGGCTCGGCCGCCTAAAGTGGGCACATGCCAGATCCTCGAAACCCTTAAAACATCGCCGAAATGATCCGCTCCGCTTCAGGCCAGAAGGTCCGTTTTGTGAGGAGGGCCGGTGAGATGTTGATAAGAGGACTTTAGGTTCTCTTCGTGTTGCCGCAAACCTATTTCACAGGCCTCAGCAGGCGAGTCCGAGTCCAAAATCCGCCATGGCAAGCTACGCCAGCAGCCACGAAACACGGCGAGCACTCGATTTGCACAGAGGTCATGGACCACTTGGCAAAAAGTCGAGCATGCCTGTGAGCTTCTTCCTTCCCAGAGATTCTACATCAAACTTGGTCCCCTCCCTCGAAGCTCACGAAGAGTCTCTACGACATTGAAGCCTCGAGACATCCAGAAGACACCTCACGTTTTGAACTAAAGCTGCAAACAAGACGGCCTCCTCGTTGCAACGAGAGGACACTGTGGTCATGAAGAGTAACACAACCATTTGGCACACCCTTTTCCCGAGGCAGCTGGATCATATTCAGTCACAAGCAGGCCAGAGCATACTGTGGCAGCCCTGATGGACAATCCAAGAACCGCAGCTGGAGGCCTATGATGCACTCCACTTGCCCCTAGAGCATGCCGGGGCATCGTTCCTGCTGGTGGCGCGGGACACTATCTGTAGCAGCTGAAGCGATTGCATGAGTTTACTCGACGTGATTTCTGCCATGCTGTCAAAGGATGTGCCAGCTGGCAGCATGGTACAGGACCTCAAGCGAGGCAGCGCAGTCCCGAGAGGAATATGGAGCAAGACAATCATGCCATGCAGTTCACACTGTCAGCGGCTAGCCATATTTATGTCTCTATTCTTCCTACAAGGCCTCGTGGCCTTGTTGGGATAGGTGTGGCGATGCATGGAGCTCCGAGTGAGGTGTGGATCATCCCAGCTGCTGGCCTGAATTGGGGGTGCCATCACCCTTGCCATCGCAAAGCGCCTTCCTTAACTTTCTTTCCCCACCAGCTGTCAAAGGCTTTGCCGCCGGGACTGGCACCCCTACTCTCAGAGCTTGGGGAGCTTCGCTGCCCGTGCCTGCGCTTGGATTCATGTGCGACTCTGGGGCTTGGAAAGTTCACGAAGTCGCTGTTTGCAGGGTGCTTGCTCAGGTGCCTGGTCGTCGGCCAGCAGGCAACAAAAGCCTTTTGCACTGCTTCCAACCTACGGGCTGCCTTGCAACGCAGGCTGTGGTGGCGGCGCTACTCTCAGGCCAGAAGAAGCGCGCGACCGACACGGCAACCATCGTTCCGAAGACGGAACCTCGGCAGCCGTTGATGCACACGTCCTAGAGTGAGCACGACCCAGCTAGAAGCTGCCAGGAGCTTCCAGAGAGCTTCCCAGACACGCATCAGAACGAGTCGACACAGGCACAGGCACCGCTTCGGCAGAGGTCCAGGATAAGCCGCAAGCGCCCGATGCCTTCGGAACCTCGGCAAAGTCTGGTGCAGAAGTTTGGGGCTTTTGAAGTGGGAGGCTGGACCGGTGCACGACGTTAGAATCTGTTGGCTCTCTGCGTGATCAATGAAGGATGGAGATGCTTTGCCCAAGCCAGTGCCAGAAGCCAAGGAGGAGTCGCAGACACAGAGTTCTTTTGTCTTGCGCCGAGAGCCAGAGAGTACCGGCTGCTGCATGACAGAGACACGAGCCGAAGGAACAGCCAGTTCATCGAAGCTGCAAGCTCAGTGCCCACAAAAACATCACACCCTTCAGCACTGAGCGCGCGGTCAAAGAATCGGCGCGCCTCAGCGCCAGCGCACCGGCACCGGTGCCACGCGACTGCGCGGCCCGAGGTGAGGTGGGAGCAGTTGCTCTTCCCGGAGTGGAGTTGAAGGTGAAGGAAGAGCTCGGGGAGGAGCTCGGAAGGGGAATGGCCGGCGCTGTAGCACTGCCACGAGATGTGTCAGAGGAGAAGGCCACTGCCGAGCAGCCTTTGCCCTCGCAGAGCGGACCGAAGGGCGCAGAGCGCGCACACGCTCCAGGCCTGGGCAGGAGACGAAGCCTCCTTCGACCTCTTCCTGCACCCCTATAGACTCAGACGGTGGGCGGGGAGGAAAGCCAAGTCAGGAAAGCTCCGTGGAGCGGCGGCTGACAGCTCGTGGTTCGTGCTTAGTAAGGTTGTTTGCTCTTCGCCGCCAGGCCAGGTGAAGCTAGAGTTTCCGGCTAAAAGCGCTTTCTGTGTGTTGTCCTTCGAAGGATCCAATGGTTTAAGTAAGCTTACCCGTTGCCTCTGTAGTTCAACCCAGTCAGCTAGGCACGAGGGAAATATCACGGTTGGAGTCATGTTTGGGCTGACTCATGTCTGCCATTGCCTGCTTGACAACACCCGCCCAAGGGATGTTGGTCGAGTCCGCGCCATGCCCATTGGGTCAGGAACGGAAGAGTTAGGAAGACACCAGGGCCCAGTCGGGAACAGCGACGGGCAGAGTCGGGAACGTACAGGAGACGAGTCAGCCAACGGCAAGACAAGCCTCATTTGGCGGTTCCGGATCCTCATATTTATCTTATACACGCCATTACACGCCCCCTTAGTTGACGATTCGGGTTCATCGTACATCCTAAACACGCCCTCTCACGTTGCCGATTCGTCATATATCTTAAACGTCGTTCTCATTTGGTGATTCCGGTTCATCATATATCTTAAACACGCCCAATTATTTGGCGTTTCCGGTTCATCTGGCGATTTCGTTTCATCATATATCCTAAACACTGCACCCAATTATTTGGCGTTTCCGTTTCATCATGTTTAAGACACATGATGAACCGGAATCGCCAAATGAGTGGGCGTGTCTAAGATTTATGATGAACCGGAACCGCCTAATGAGGGAGCATGTCTAAAATACATGATGAACCGGAATCGCCAAATGAGGGTGCATGTATAAAATGATACCTCCCCTGCTTGTTCTCGACTCTTGCGGCTGACTCGCCTCCCATCCCCCGCCCAGGAGGAAAAGCGACAAGCCTTACTTGGAACTTATGCCAACCATTTTGCAGGTGCATCTGGCCCAGGGCACAAGCCTGAGCCAGAGCGTCCCGCCGAGGCTTGGATAGCGTCTCCATTCTCGGACCAGACTGCATGTCCAACGCGCATGCGCGCATGTGCACCTGGTGTGAATGACGTGCTCTCGTCTCGCAACTGCCTCACCGGTGCTCGGTCTATTTCGCACAGGTGATTCATAGCCAGCAGGCTACTCTGAGCATGAGAGCAGCAGCGCCGCCAATGTCGCAAAGACCGAAATTGGAAGAAAAACAGGCCGGTGAGTCGTTCCTTTGCACATGTCATGTTCAAGTCTTTATGCTGGCAGGAAGAGAAGATTAGTCCGGGCACCATACAATCCGTCCAGTCGACGCATCTTCCTCCGGAGGTGAAGACGGAGGAGCAGCACTGGCCTTTTCGATTTTTCTGGAGCTTTGGGGTCTGGTAACTGCATGTATGCTCGGCAATGCGCAGGAAGAGCTCATCATCGATGGCGCTGAGCCCGTTGTACATCCAACCGGGCCCTTTGCCTGCTGAGATCTGTGGTTTGTGGACGGAGATGTATTCCTAGCAGATCACAGTATCTACTGAGTATAGCACTTGCAGGATCTGGCTCAATCCTTTGAAGGCGCGGTGTTCGAATCGGCTCGTGCTGGAAGGCACCCATGCGAGTCGTCTTGCTGCAGTCACGAAACAGAAGGATCAAGGGCGTTAGTTCGACTGCTTCTGCCGACGCGCCTTCACCACACTGTTGTGGCTGAAATGAACCCACCCCATCAGGCGTCGAGCTGCCTCGCGCTTCCTGGGCAACGGCAGACAAGCGCGCGCCGGAGGCCAGTGAAGACAGGAAAAATGCTCCAAGTGAAGGATACGCGCGTTGCTATGTGTGGCCTCTGAGGTGTACCCATCAGAAGGGAAGCCCAACTTCAAGCGATTCCGCAAGGGCCAGAGCTCCTGCGTTGCAAATGGAACCAAGGAGACACCCCGGTCGCCCAAACCAAAGGAGTCTTGACATTCTCACTTTGAGAACTGCCCTGTAAACTCATGAAACCAGGCACTGAAGTCACAACCTTCGTGCATGTGGTGCCCTGGGCACCCCCGGCACGTCGGCTGGATTTTGAGACCCAGCCCTCCATCGACATGCGTGAGAGTCGCTGGACTTCCATTATTAAAGCTGCCGGATGCCGCTGTCGCAATGTGACGTGGTTTGCCCATTCTTTTCCGAATCTGGCGACTTTGTACATGACAAGGCGAAATTCCGAACTTGGGCATGTGAATTTGCGGCTGTCCGGGTGAGTGCGAGGGTTTTCAACCGTAAGAGGCATGTCTTTACATTTTGTGATTTTTGTTGAAATAGGGTTCCTTGTTCGTGAGCTGTCGTTCCTTCGGGTGAAGTCTCGAGAAGGAATACGCCACGCTGCAAACAAGTTGGGAGGGAGTGCAAGGGTCAGCTGTACAGAACACGTGGCCCAAGCAGATGCGAGCGCGGGGTGCAAAAAGCATTGACCCAGGAGGGTATGCATAGGACCGCAGGCATGTACTGCATTGCACTCCATAAAGAGCGATTGTGAACTGTAACAGGCAGCCATGCGGAATCACCCCGTTGCGACAGCCCCGGCGCTGGGGGCAATGGTCAAGGCACACAGCCTGGCCCAGGAGCAAGACAGAGCCCGGCCTTCAAATTATGTACACACACGTCTGTGTTCTGCACGAATCCGAGCTGGGAACAGGAATTACTGTAGGAACCTGAAACTTTCGGCAGAACGAGACATCAGCTGCTATCTTGAAGAAGTCTCGCATTAGTCAAATCGCATGACGACCTAGATGGTGCGGGCAGCACGATAAATGTATGACGCTCGTGCTCACTGCGGGATTAGATACTCATGATACTCCTTCAGAAGGCTTGCATTTCGTATGGTGGGCTGTGAGAGCAATGCACTCTTATCCCTCCCAAAATCTCCCAAATTCCGGCCGGATCATAAATCAATGAAGGCTGCGTTCGATTTCAACTATCGGCAGCGCTTAATTGGCACCGCCATAAAGCCGGAGACCCAGCGACCTGAGGGTTGAATGCAGAATGCTGAGGCAAGTTGTGCAGAAGTGCCTGCTTCTGTTCAGGCACTGCAACAGCCCTGAAAAAGAAGTCCGAGCACCTTTAGTAGCTGGACTTCAGGATATGAGACCGTTCTGCTGGTGTTCTGCTATTGTGCCTGACTGCACGTGCTTAGCGGCTGGAACGACAGATGTTCCAGTTGAAGCCGCAGACGGCACAGTCTGAAGTCCAGGAGATGGTGGAGTCGGATCAACGGCTGGAGGCCAGCTTAGCTGCCTAGATCAGTTTGGGTTTTAAGTGCCACCGAGCTGCGAAGTCCGCTGCCAGGGTTCCAAAGAGGCCGTGCTGGCCATTGGGCGCTTGGCACAGGGCATGGCCGGACGTAAAGCCAAAGCAGTGCCAGCAGAGGAGCTGGGGCGCGAGATATTTGGAGCTTATCACAAACTCGGAAAGAACAGCATCCATGGCTCGACCGTTCGCATTGGAAGTGAAACTGCCGTGCACGAATCATGTAGGACTCTGAGACCAGCCAAGCGCACCGGGGCCTACACTACGAGCTGCTACAGGCCGCACCATCAAAGTTCTGCAGCTTCTCTTGGAGATTAGGCCTTGGACATTCATGCCATTCTGATCGCCTAGCTTGGTCGTGATGTTCCATAGTCGTGGCAACTCGGGTCTGTCAGATCCTCCTCCACTTGCCGATCGGTCGCGCCGATGCTGCTGAGCTGGCAGGACCTGCAGGCGCGGAGGTACTGCACTGGCGGATTGTATCCGGATCCGTCGTGCTTAACTCATCATTACTGTGGAGTCCAGTCGCAGTTCTGAGCCGATGGCTGTAGATGAGTTATATTCACGAGAACCGCTGAGGCATGTGCATGCCTGAAACTGTAGCGCAGTGGTGACGTGGACCTGCCGGCTGGCAGGTGACATGTCCAATGCGGATGAGGATGTCAAGAAGGGATTGGCTGAGGCTGTGGGCCTCTGGGGCTGCCACACTTCTAGGGAAGCTGATTGCCGGAGTGGACAGGCCTCCATCACGCTGAGCGCTGAACAGCTGCGGAAGCGTGAGGGCGAGCTTCTGTACGAGGTGCACCTCGACGTCTTCGAGTTGGCATTGTGTTTCGGAGAATCATCTCAAGAGCCCTCTGCTTCAAGTTTTTGCAACAAACAAGCGCAATGAGTCTCCGCAAGCTTGTGAGATTGCAGCCGATGCTCTGTCAATCTCTGTCAGATGGACTACAACCGGCTACTGTTTCGCCTTGCCGACATCACAGGTGTTTGTAGTCTACCTCCGCATCCTCCGGCAACGGCATCTGCACAGACCTGTCCCCAGGATGGGAAGGCGCAGTCGCAAGGACTGTAGCCAAGACATGCACTGTGCGACGAATATGCTGCCGGTAGACTAGGTTAGTCGTGACAGCTAACAAACCGCAATTCCGGGCTTTCGTTTTCTGTCATCAGGTTGAATGGACTCGGCAGGATTCCAACCAATCACTCTACAGGTTTAACGATACCAGACAGTCGCCAGGACCCTACGTTCGTGCAACAAGTAATCTTCCTTACGACTGCAGAGGAGAGTTGGCTAGCTCGTTTTTTGGGAAAGGCAATCAGTAGCACTTCCAGCCAATGGCAGATTTCCAGCACTCGCATGCATCAACATGGGGCCATAGGGGCTATATTAGATAGGACCGGAATGAAGATCGCGGTAGGGGCATTTGTGAGGATTGCTCTGCAGATTGTAAGCAGAGGTAGGTGACCATAGAAGCCTAGAGCTTGTAGTCGCGTGGGGCTTCAGAAAACGCACGTGTTTTGTTACTTGTAGTTGCATGTGGCGACTGAGATAATTGACAATGCTTGTGCGCTTCATTTGTAACGCGTAATTAGAATTGCCGCGGAACAGTGTTCCACAAGAACCCACTACAAAGGTCCAGGCCTTGGGTGTATGGGATATCTAAAGTTCCTGCATACTTAAAAGTGGCATGCTAGGCTTGCAATTCAGTCTCGATCTGACTCTCTTTAGTGATGCATAGTGCTTAGCCTAGGCCGTGAGCTGATGGGCACGGTGCTCACCGGCCTAGCGCGGTGGGGACAGCAGGCCAGCATTGTCTCAGTTTCGGGCCCCGCTCGGTTTCGTCGCTTCGTTTGGGCCGGGCGTGCTAGGAATCCTCGGTTGCCAAGGGTGTTTTTGACAGGTGAACCTGGAGCTTCTTCTTGAGATTTTGTCAGAGCTGCGCCTGGCGGTCAAGGCAGAAGAGCGCGGTGGGATGTGATGTGCGATTCGGAAGCCCCGTATGGATGAGGAAAAGCATGCAGCAGGTCTCTCGCCGTGCGTAGAAAGGAACTAGGTGGTGACTGAGGTCTATTGGCATGTTTTGGGTGGTGTATGGTCTTACACTGGTTCTGGCTGTTTGCTAAGCAGTCTCGGTCATCGCTGTGAGCCTGGATCACGTGTAGCCTCGCCAGCCTTGTGCGAGTGTGAGAGTCAACACGAACGAGCTTTTCCTCAGGATGCTATCGGAAGATCCGACGAGCTGGTGGCACTTCATGGCCACCTACCCAGAAAGTATTCTTTCCGGGCATGCGAGTCACAGGAAGGGTTTTGTAGTGTGCTTCACTTATGCCGGAAAAAGCATTCCTTCAGTGTTCATGTCTACCCTGTTCGGAGGAGTAATGCGCACGATCTCGAGCTAACGGAGCCGGACGGTATGTTCTGCACATGAGGTGTTCACATCGGAATGCCCTTTGACTTGCACTGACTTCTCAAACCAAGGCCTCAACTGCGCCTTGGTGCTACTCAGCGGACCTTCCCAGGCAAGGGTGTTTTCCTCCGATATGTTGATCTCGGGAGCTATGAAGCCCTTTCTCCTGCAACCACGTGTCATGTTTTTTTGACTCGTTGGAAGTGCTTGTGGTCATGTGGGGGTCTTGCTCTTGCTACTTCTACGGATGGCCAGCTTAATTGCACGAGTTCGCGATTTTTCAAATCATGTCGGAATCCAAGCATGGGGCCAATAAACCTCGATGCACGAAGACCGGCAATACAGCATTGCTCAGGCCTTGCTCACAGACGTGAGCTGGCTTTCAGATTCGATGACGGGTGCCCTGGCTTTGGCTTTGCCGTCGATGTATTCCGTTCACTCTGAGGCGCGCCGATGCAACCTGGACTAGAGTCACTGGAGCATATGCGGGATCGCAGACAGCCACCCGAAATGTCAACCGGACAACCTGTTTAGCAAGCGTTTCCGGCACGCGGGCTGCAGCCCGACTTGACGGGTGTATGCACTTGCATGCCGAAGTCTTGGATCAATCTCGAACACAAAAAGGCAAACAGACCTTCCCCAAGCCAATGCAGCTGTCCCCCAGCCTCGGTTCACACCAAGACCTGGACAGCAAAGCGTTGCAACGTCAGTGTCCATGGTCCGCCCGCGCGAGAGAGCGCCGAACCCGGGACCTGGTGTCCGGCGTGAACGGCCTGCGGGAATCATCGGCCGCCAGGCTCGGGGGCTCGGGACTCTCCGCAGCCGACCCACAATGCATGGAAGGAGCCTGTCGTGCGACGTGGGCGTCTTCAACCTGCCAGCCTGGGCCTCGTTCCCACATGTTGACGTGTGCTCACGCATGCTCACGCTGCGCCCTAGAAAGCGCGTTTGGCCTATGAAGCTTCTCTTGCGCACATCTTGCTCGTAGTTTTGGAATCTCTCTGGACTTTGCAGGTTTGGTGCGGGCCACATCGCTTGGCACATCGCGCAGCCTCTCTGCACCCCGAGGACGGGGCGCTACAGGTAGAGTGAGAGTGAAGAGCCCGTGATGGAAACCCGGCGACAGGGTTGAGGAATCATTTTCGGAAATGATGACATGTTGCAATTCGCTTGAGATTGGGCTTGCGATCCAGAGCCCGTGCTTTGTCCGCACCTAGGGGTCGATGAGTTGGGACAACAAAAAAGTGCCTAGTTGAATTTGAGGCCACAGAGTGCAAGACACGGTCAGGAGATTTCTGAATGAGCGAGTGAGTCAGACTTGTCCCATTGGCCCAATAGGTTGTCTTTTCCCGTGAAGGGGGTCAGATGCAAACAGGGCGGCTCCCAAAACGTCATGCCCTTACGCACCGCAGAGCAAGCAACCCGGCATCGCATGGGCCCGCCCCCTCCGCTTCTGAAGCCAGCAGGGGCAAGCTAGCAATATTTGCTCTCTGGAAAAGGTCTGTGAACGCGTGTGCTACATTGTGCTACTGTGTCTTCACCTGACCTTAAACTTTCTTTTGACGTTTGAGAACCGACTCTAAGTCCTGCTGCGTCTCTTGGCATGTCCTGAGGTCCGCTTCCAAAAGAAGCGGACAGTCCTGCCGCTTGCGAAAAACACTAGACTCCCGGCCAATGCACCACGAACGACGCTAGCTAGAATCTCGAGACGGAGACCTAACAATCATGAGCATAGCACGCTAAGAGAAACTACAAAGTTTGAGATGCCTCAAGTGTTGCCCGAGCTTCTCTTCAAGGTTTCTCCTGCGTTTGAATCAAGCGCTATTGAGGGATGCGTCAGCAGAGAGGAAGAGCGACAACAAATAAATTGGCTGTCTTAAAGCATCCTTGAAGCAAGGAAACTGACTTGCATCGCAACCCATGCCCAACTGTTCACATGTCGCAACGACTTATCAACCCTGCGGGCATAAAGCTTTCTTCCAGCAAAGAGAAAATGCGTTGTGTGCGTTCTTCTGAGTCTTCCAGAAACTTTATATGCAAGTGTTCTCAAAGCTGTGCAAGCAAGATGTGTCACATGCATGTTTCTGCTGTTGCAGGTGCCAGGCGGACTGCCTCCATCGGAGCACAGCGATCGACCACACGGGTCAGGCGCAACTCACCTTGTCGATTTCGACGATCATTGCATGCCCCTGTTTGGCACCGGTTGGCGCACCTTGTGGCGCTTCTGTCTTCTAGCGGGTGTAGTTGCTCCCGGGCATGGTGGGGCTTTCAGGAGCAACTGGGACCCTGCACCGACTGAGCCGAACGAGGACATTTGCCGCCATCAGGTAATCCGAAAACACGGCCTGAATCCGGTCAGACTTCCAGGACTGGTGCTTTGCCTACTACCTTGCAAGCAGCCTCGACATACAGGCGTTGACCGAGAATTGGAAGGCCAGTGCTGCCGCTGACACCAGTTCTTCCTGCTGTTCGTGGGTTTGGTAGAGATCCTGCTTCGGTTTCGAGCGCTGCGAAGAGCAACTGCAATATTGCAGGCAAGCCTCAGACGAATACCGCACACTTCACCGCGACCTGTCATGCTGCTGGAAAATCAGCAAGACTTTTCTCTGATCCCGGTGTTGTTCGATTGTCTTTTTGCAGTCGCTAGGGCTTCATGTCAGAGCTACATTGTGCGCTGGCGCTGACCCCCGATGATTGCCGATGCAGAGACAGCAAGTATGTGCAATATTTCATTCACACGCAGCGCGAGGATGATCGCAACTCTGTGAAACTCTTCCTCGCTTTGCGAGTGTCTGACTTACTATGGCTGTTTTTGATACAGAGTTGGCAGCTCCCGGTTTGGGGAGTTACTCCTGTTCCTTCGTTTTGAACTCGCTCAGTCTGAAGAGTGTCTCTACCAGATAGCTCCCGCTGCAGGCCGTGCCGAAGCTTTGCACCTGCATACGTCTCGTTCCGTAGGACAGCAGGCTATGCGGGGTTGGTTTAGTTGACACCTAGTGGGATGAAAACTAAGGGGGGCATACTGCTGGATGTGGTCAAGCTTGTCCTATGTGCGAAAGCCCCCGATAAAGCGTGCAAAAGCCTCCTGCCTCCGCCCCGCCCCTCAGGGCAGCAGGCTACGAGGTGGGACTGCAAGAGCACTTTGATTCTGTCTTGGGTTCTACCTCTGACGTGCGCGGGGGAACTCATCCGAGTTCTGAAGTCTGCACTGTTGCTCTGGTACTTTTGCCCACGCTAAGTCTTGCTAGTAAGAGTCTCTCTTTCTTGCTCCGCGCACTGCTATGTTCGAGAGGCCGGATCTGTACGCACCACCAGCTCCACGTTGAACTCCAGCATGTCAGCCGATGTTGCTCCGGATCTTGCGATCGTGAGCAGTGTCTTTCGTCAATCCTGCCGCCAATGCCAAGTTTGGCATCTTGGGGAAAGAGGCCGTTGTTAATGGCACACCGAGTAGAGCGGCACTTCTCAGGGGGAGTACCTCCCCCTGGTGGTGCCAGACTATGGTCTGGGCATAGCCTTCCCGGGTGTGGGCGGCGGCCGGGTTTGGGATGGGGAACCCTTTTGGCTGTTGCCTTGCCTCCGGCGCTGATGTGTCCTCACTCTCATCGTTGTCCGAGAGGTTGTTTGTGGATCCTCGCCGCCTTCCACGACCTCGTGTGGGCGGAGGAGTCCTCGAGCCAGAGTGCTGAAGAGTGGCAGGGCACTGTGATAAAGGTGAGGTTAAAGATGGGCTAGCAGTGGCTACCTAGCCGCAGTTGTTACAAACAATTCTGCACCATGGCTAAGACGTGGCTCGAGTCTCTGTATGTGCTGACTGTAATCGTAAACTGCCTGCCTTCATCTTTCAGAAGTTCTGGACCATCGTGTAGACCTTGGATAGTAAAGCCCGGGTGTCAACACTTGACGCTGGACTAGTAGCTCTGCAGATGTCCAGGTTTGTGCACTCCAAGCAAAGGAGTCAGCGCGCTTCGAGCGAGTGATTCCCAACTTGCATTCCCAACTTGCAGAGAGGTCACTGCCGGGAGTATCTCCTCGCCCGTGTTCCTATGATAGAAAGCCACCATCATTTGGCCGGGCGAGCTCAGTTCAAGGATTGACGTGTGGCCACATTTTGCATTTGAGAACTACCCTTAGAGTGGTCGTACATTTTGCATGTTTGTATTAGGCTTTGAAAGGAAATTACACAGCCGAGCCGGACGGTCAGGGGTCAGGATGACCATTTGTGCTGATGCAGAATCAATCTAGAAGCTGACTCCGGCCTCCACAGCCTTTATGGTGGTGACTTTTACCATCATTTCCTCTCAATTCCTCCGAGAAGAAGGGCAAAAGTTGCCTCCTCTCTGATCCCTTCTTCTTGCTTTTTCCAAGGGCGGAGACGGCCGGGAAGAAGTCCATGCTCCCTGATGGTTTTGCAGTGCCGTGGCAGACTGTTTCGGGGAGTGGCTCCTAAGAAACCTTCTAAGGCAGGTGGCCAGTTCTCACTTCACTCCCGGAATGGCGCTGCACCACCCGTATATATACATATTGCAGCTACCAACAAGCTCCAACAGGTCACCCACAGTCGCCTCCTGTACCCTGGGCCACTCTAATACTTCGATGAGGCGGGCCCAACCTGCCTCAGCAAGTAGGGAGTGACGCAAGCAGGCTGCAAGTGGCTTAGAGGTGTGCTTGGCAGGATCCTGTGCCTCTGGGCGAAAGCTACGGCTCCCAGCCACTCTCCAACTGCACATCCGGGGGAGTATCTCCACTCGGTGTGTCTGCGTCGTCACTATCTCTGGCTCTTGGCCTGGCACAGCTCAGTTGAGTTTCATTGCCCGAAAAGCTGCCAGGGTGGCCCGCAGAGGGACCTCGAGAGACCCCGCCCACTCTCGTAGGAATTCAGGTATTCCCCCTGCTCTATGTTTCTTCTCCTGCTTCAACAGCCAGTATGCATTGGTTCGTGCGCTTGCCAGCCTTAACGCTGCCCATGTTGTCGAATTGCAGCTCCAGACATGGCTTGACGAACACATGCCTCGCCCCCCAGCAGTCCGTGTAAACATTCAACTGTTTCGCCGCGGGGAACGAGATTCGGGGTTGACTCAGGTCCTCTATGCTGCCGTCGCAGTCCTCCATCAACGCCGGAAACGGGATATAGCCTGCTCGCTCGAGGACAGCCAGAGCCTCCAAGTACTTCTGATCTTCTTGTTTGTCTTGCTTGGAAGCTGCTGCTGACGAGCCAGAGCACTCTTGGCTTTAATTGCAGGGGGAACACCTCCTCCCTGATCTTCTAATTGTCTTCGCCTGGCCGGTGGCGGAGGGGGAGTAACTCCAACCCTCGATCCTTTCCCGCCTTTCTCGTCTGTGAGCGAGGGCTCCCCTCTTTCTATGGTGTGCTCCGTCGTCGATCTTTTCCACTATCGGAGATAGTTGCGATACGAGACCGCCGGGAGGCCTTCCACTTGCCTCTTTCTGCAGTACTCCTCATACTCAGCAGGCCTAAAGGTTCGACATTGCCGAAAGTGCCTTCAGTCAGAGCAGTCTGCAGTAAGCATAGAGCAGCCTTTCACCGAAGAAATGAGTGCAGGCTGCGATATTGATGTATGCTAAGTAGACCCTCAGAGAGGCATGACCCTAAGTCAAGATCAGAAACTGGGGATGAACGAGGGTTGTAATCCCGCACACAAGTTTGACTGAACCAGGAAACTGCCACCCTTAGAGCTACAAGGAGAAGGCTGAGGCTGTTGCTGAGGAGCAGACTGTGTCTGCAGAGACAAGGAGTATCTCCTTCGTCACTTGCACCCAGGGTCGGGGCCATGCTGCTGCAGTGAACCTGGCGGACAGAGGGTAGTAGCAATTTCGCTAAATGCTTCTCGCCAACAAGCTCCCTGTTGTGGCAAAGTGGACTGTGTGTCCTTGTGGCCTTTGCTCTCTGCCTAGGCGTGCTGTTCGCCCTGAAGCTGACGGAGATGGTGCTCCCATTAAGTGGCAGCAACATTCAAAATGGGTCTGAAGGTCGCACTTTGTCTCAAACTGGGCCCTCAAATCCCCGTCGAGCCCACATAGCTCATTATGGCCGTCTCACGTTCCATTTGGAGCAGGTCGAAACGATGCACGCTTAGGGCTGCAGGGGCGCCAACACCCTCTGACCTCAACCCTGCTGCGGCCAGATAGGTCAAACCAAGTTTGTTGGGATTGACCTCCGCCTGTGGCTGATTTCCGCCCATTCGTCTATGCCCCTGATCGTATCCAGCCGAGCTTGGAGGGCAAGGACTCGATCTCAGGGGAGTAGCTCCACCGAGAGATTCATCAACTGGGCCTTTAGGATAACCCGCTTCTCCCGGATAATGCCTTCCAAGCGACTGTACGCCGGCCCGGGAAGTATCTCCGTACTCTGCGGCAGAGAGCGAGAGTGCCCGAGCCTGCCACTGAGGCCAGCTTGAGATGCTCATTCGCTTCGGCTATGCTAGCATTTCACGAACCTGCTTCGTCTCAGGCGACTGCTGCATGCCCTGTCTCTGGAAATCCGCATTAAGAAGGGTAAAGGCAGAATTGTTTACAAGGGAACCCAGGGAATCTAGGAGCTCAGCCGTTGACGATCGACGTGAGAGCTGAAATTGAAGTCGGACAGGCCCTCCTGACAATTGCTCGGTAATAGGCCTAGAGGATCTGAAGACCTTGATGTGGTAGGGGACTGTCTCCAGTCGTGACAGGATATCTCCCAAGCCAGCAATGACCTGTGGTGTGCTGAGAGGCTCGTCTAAAGTTTCCACCAGCGCCTGCTCCACTCTGGGTCATCATGCCGTCTGCTTTGAGCTGTGCCTGGGGCTTTAGAGTCCTTGGCTACCACTAGCAATCTCTCCTTTAGTTCCTTGAAGAACGTCATGGTCAATACATGTTTGGGGGTACTAGAGGAGCCATCTGAGCCTTGAGCCTTTTGCTCGCTGAATGAAGCATTGGAAGTACCGTGCGCTCGTCCGTTTTGACGTAGGAGACAAAGCTGGCGTCGGAGGCAATGGCGTTGATCTGCTCGTCATGCCTGAGTACCAGCCCAGCCATGGCCGAAACCAGAGCTTCCGTGGCTTATTCCTTGCTTTGTTTTTGCCTCTGCCACCTCCCTTGCCTTGGAGAGCACCTCCACCACGCTGCCGCTTCGGGAGAATCCCCTCCAGGCGCGTCACCTCTTTTTCCGGTGCCTGTATCCAACATGGCAGCATCTGACCTCATCAGTCGAAACGCCTCCCGTGTTACTGCTTCAATGTGGTCTGATCACGGGTATCTCTAGATGCTCCTCAAGCTGAACTGGTCCCTTATCTTAGGTCGATCTGGAAACCTTGGTAAGGCGATGCAGACATGCGACCTCACTGGCAGTAGGGCATGCGTCCTGTCCTGGTGGGGCGGACCATTTCCGGAAAATGTTCTACATCGAGGAGATATACTCTACATGCCCCGGGCATCCCACTTTCAACTTCTTGTGTGAGATAGTTAGCTGCACCGGCAGAGCCGGAGTACCTCCTAGCTCCGCCAAAGTATGGGTCTTGCCCTTATATGTTGTGCTGCCATTCTGTTGGGCCAGTCTTGACGCCTTCTGATAGGATCGTTTGCCTTTCCCTTTTAGGAGGTGGCTGTTATCCTCTCAATCTCTGTTATTTCCGAATGCTCCCTCCCGTACTTGGGATCGGGACAACTCAGGCTGTGGCGAATGCCATGGCGAGCGAGGAAAAGGCTAACTGTACTACGCCTGACCTCGCCTGAGCCGAGAGGCTTAGCATGTGCAACAACAACAACCACCACAACCACAACAATGTCACTACAACATTTGTTCAATTGAACCCTGCGGGAGCGTGCTCTGCATGTGGCAGGCGATTGCCGCTTTGGCACTTACTATTGGGTCAAAATCGACTTCGGCTTTATTCTGAATGGCTAAGTGTCTGAAGCACCCAAGATACCGGCAAGACCAACACAACCGAATGAAGCCATGCTAACAACCAGGCCGTAAACCGGAGCCATTCTGAGCTGAGCCTGAGCCTAAATCCTGTGGGGGGCCTGCGAGTGCTTAAAGCACTTTTGGCCTTGACGCGGGGGGGCGGGGCCTTGCCCATTTATTGTGGGGACAGGCCTTCCCGTGCACAGGCACCAATGGTGTGCATTAATGCCCGTAAATACTTGGGCCAACACCCGCCCCAAAGGCACATGTCGGCTTCATTGGCGTTCCAGAAAGAGTGAAAAGCTGCTCTTCAGCAACCGCTTAGGTCTGTCCTGGTGGCCGGCCTGCCGGCTTTTCAACAGAAGCTCAACGGCCTCAGATATCTGACACAAACACAGACACAGGCTGCGGCAGGTGGCACGGGGGGACTGCCCATGCGAATATCGCAGGTACCTCCTTCAGCAAGGCCAGCGGCACTTTCTGCTTTGAGGCCTCGCGGTAGCCACCAACCGTGATGCAAAACGAAACACGGACTACTGTGAAAAGAAAGGACAAGAGAACGAATCCTGATCCCAAAGGCCATTCAACCCCGATATGGAAACGAGCTGCTTATGGCTTGCTTCACTGGGACAATTCACTTTGCTGTCTTCGGCCTTGCGGCCACACGTGGAGAAAGGTCTGCTCAG